GTATCATAATTAAAATACCAAAGGTTAAAGATAGAGAATCTTAAAAGTAGCAAGAGAAAAGCAAATAGTTACCTACAAAGAAGCTCCCCATAGACTATGAGTTGATTTCTCTAAAAAAAACTTTGAAGACAAAAAGGGACTAGAAAGAAGTACTCAAAGCTATGAAAAGCAAGGACCTACAACCTAGACTACTCTATCCAACAAAGCTATCATTCAGAATGGAAGGGCAGATAAAGGTTCCCAGATAAGGTCAAGTTAAAGGTCGAGTTTATCACTACCACGCCCTTATTATATGAAGCTTTTTATATTTATTTTTTTATAGATAGAGGGAAAGGGAGGGAGATAGGGAACGAAAAATCAATGTGTGGTTGCCTCTCACATGCCCCCTACTGGGGATCTGGCCCACAACCCAGGCCTGTGCCCTGACTGGGAATTAAACTAGTGACCCTTCGGTTCGCAGGCCGCACTCAATCCACTGAATTACACCAACCAGGGTGAGATGTTAATGGGACTTATTTAAGAAAAAGAAGATCTAAACTACGAACAGTAAAATGACAACAAACTTACAACTACCAACAACTGAATCTAAAAAACAAAAACACAGCAAACAACTAGAACAGGAACAGAAGAATAGATATGGAGATGATTTGGAGAATTGGTCATCAGGGGGAGGAGGAAGGGTATAAAGGGGAAAAGTACAGGAATTAAGAAGCGTAATTGGTAGGCACAAAATAGACAGGGGGATGTTAAGAATAGTACAGGAAATGGAGAAGCCAAAGAACTTACATGCATGACCTATGGGCATGAACTAAGGAGGGAAGAATGCTGTGGGAAAGTGGGTACTGGGCAGTGGGCAGCCAAGGGGGAGAAATTGGGACAACTGTAATAACATAATCAATAAAATATACTTAAAAAAACCCAACAGGTCACAATATAAATAAAAGTTAGAGGGTGGTACCCCAAAAATTAAAACTAAACTATAGCCCTGGCTGGTGTAGCTCAGTAGATTGAGTGCGGGCCTGCGAACCAAAAGATCACGGTTCGATTCCCAGTCAGGGCACATGCCTGGGTTGCAGGCCAGTTCCTGGCAGGGGACACACCTGAGGCAACCATACATTGACATTTCTCTCCTTCCTTCCCTTCCCCTCAAAAGATAAATAAATAAAATCTTAAAAAAATACAATAACAAATAAAACTATAGAATAATCAACCTGGAGAACCATCTGAAGATTAGCTGAACAGAGTCCTATAACTGAGACTATAAAGAAGCCATACCGTGGAGACTGGTAGGAGTGGGGAGACTTGGAACAGGCAGGTCCCACACCAATTGTGTGGTGACTGAGAACTGGGAGGGATATGTTAGCCGTGGAGGTCCCCCTTGCGGAGTGAGGGCACCACTACTAGGGAGAGGAGTCCCTATAACAACCGCTGCGACAACCAGTTAGGATTGTGTCCTAGTAAGGTGGAGGCTTGATGGAGACTTAGGTGTGCCTCCTGGGAGGGGGATGGGCATGCACTGGCTTACCTGCACGCAAACTTACTTGATGTGGGCTCCAGCACGGGGGCAGCAGCTTATCAAGTGCCAGGTACGTATGAGTTAAACTAACTTCAGAAAAGACTAAACAGGTACAGGGTCTGGACAGCTCTCTGTAGGATGCAAGAGCTGGCAGGCTCCATGTTCCTTTGTTGAGTGTCCCTCTCACCCAGCCTGCAGGCTCAGAGATGCACCAAATCTGTGCTCTGCAAATCAGGCTAAAATGGTTTGCCCCACCCAATTCACACACCCAACCAAGTCTCTTCCAGTGGCTTTTCCACATAAACAGCCTACCTAAGTTCATGCTGTAGGTTTTCCCAAAGCCTCTCAAGAGTCCACAAACCCGAAACAAACAGTTGCTGGCCCCAGTGTGCCTTGTAGATCTTGCTAAGCAGTCCCAAGCCCAACACAAGCAACAAGTGGTCTCAATTTGCACTGTAATTCCTACCAGGTTTTCCCAAGCCTAGCACATGCAGCAGCCAGCCTTGGCCTAGGATGTAGCTTCAACTAAGTGGCCCCAAGCCCAGCACAAGTAGCAGTTCAACTTGGCATGTCCTGGAGTCCCTCCCAAGAAGCTCCAGAACCAACACACTTTGTGGTTGGCTTCAGACCACACCAGAGCACCACCCAACAAAGCTCCATAAATGACATACCTGAAGGGCAGACTTGGATGCCGACAACCAACAGGCACCAGAGTCTAGCAACTCTGGTGCCAGACATGGCTGGCACTAGAGCTCTCCTAAAGTGACTTCTGGTGTCAACCATCACATAATAGCTCATCTGTAGTAGTCACAACCAGTCAGCCTGAGGGTCAACCCCATCCATGATGTGCCAACAGTAATCAAGGCATGACTACAAAGGAAAGGCACACAAAACCCACACAAGGGTCACCCATAAAGCAACTTGTTCAAGGATCAGGGAGAGTGTACCACTGGGTGGTAAAAAAATTCCATAACCATTTTTTTGGGGGGACATGGTCGAAATATAAAGCTTCACATTAAATGAACTTGTAAGAAGAGCCAGGATAAACTGGAGCAAAGTGTAGGGGGTACTCTGCCAGCAGAGCTCCCCCCACTGCCGTGGATTAGAATAATTCTACCAAGACAGGATCTGCTTGAGGAGGAAGGCTGACCAGTCTGTCAGAGGAGAAAGGCGTTTTGCCTCTCTCTCAACGGGCTTTATTGAGTTTAGTTTTCATTGCATATCAAAGAAAAGAGGTATGGGTTACAGCTAACATTTCTGAGATCATGGGGGGTCCTTTTGAGCCAGGGTCTGGTAGACAGGGTGATGCCAATTGGCTGTAAATCCTTGGGAAACAAACTTATTTTGTGCTTGGACTCTTAACATTTAAATTGAGGATATTCTTAGCAATGGAGGTTTCACAGGACTTCACACATTCTTTCTTAGGCCCGATCGTCACCCCACCAGGAACCTCCAGTTCCGGCACAGGGCTGCACCCCCCCTTCAGCACTGTTTCAGACCTGAAGCAGGGAAGGGAAGCGAGGCAGCCAGGAGACTAGGAAACTTTTTACAGATAGAATGAGGACTCAAGCTATGACAAAGCCAAGGGGTGACGGTTTTTTGTCCCTTCTTCACAATCCACTTAATCCTTCCCTGATGGCCCCATTTACTACTGTGCCTGACTTAGGTTGTTCCTTCCTTGAGGAATCTTACCTGTCACTGACTATCCAGCCATCCTCCAGGGGCCAAGCAGGGTGAAGTAAAGGGGGCAGGCAGTACCCCTGCCGGGAGGAAAAGTTTTGACTCCTTAGTGGCTTATGGTCCCAAGGTCCCTTAGCCATGGGGCCTTTTCGCCTGTTGGCAGGGTTACAGCTCCGGAAAGTAGGCGGGATGGTTCCCAACAGTGAAGCATATTAAAACATTATAAAACTAATGATAAAAATTATTGGGTTGGCCAAGTCTTTCATTTTCCCCATAAAATGAAAAACATGTTTTTCATTTTCACCAATAACTTTACTGATTTGGGTATTTTGACTATGTCAGCCATTTCTGGCTATTGGCTTTTACTAGGTAGAGGCCAGGGGTGCTGCTAAACATTTCCCAATGCATAAAACAGCCACACAGCAAAGAATCACTATGCCAAAATGACAAAAGTACCAAGAAATGTTGCTAACTTCTTTTGATATGTTTGATTCATCACAGTGCCTTCTCTGCATACTGCATAAATCTTTACATTTCATGGTTGCATTGTACATTTCACCTTTCTTGCAATAATAAAGTATATAAAAAATGTTATGTATATTCTTCCATCTTTGATATTAAAATGGCTGCACAAAATTCACTAATTTTGATGTTTTTTTAAATGTACACTGATATAATAGCTGTCACAATACATCTAACAAAATTGTTTTGAATGCAGTTTAAAGCAACTAAGCATTATTAGAGCCATTGTATGAAAAAAACTAAGTGAACTTTTTGGCCAACCCAATAGTTTGGAAGCAGACAGAGAGAAGAGAAAGTTCAAAAAAGGAAAAGCAAGCCTAGACATAGAGGAATAGAGTACGTGACAAAAGTGACATGCTAAATCAGTGGGAAAGATGGATTATTCTTTCCCACCTTTAAATGGTGGTAGGTTAGATCTCAAGGATGTCAGCAACAGGCATGGGGACAGAAGCCAGAGCCTTCCTGGTATACCAGATTTAAATGTACAAAAACAAAACCAGGAGAATACAAGAACAGAACTGTGAATTTTTTTAAATTATTTTTTGAAGTGGGAAAAGAAAAGGCATACATAAGCAAAACTTAAGACCCAGAGGCCATAGAGAAAAACACTAGTAAATATGACCACAAAAATACTGTGGCAAAAATTACCATCAATATAGTCATCATAAGATACACAGGCAAAAATATTTACGTCATATGGTAGACAAAGGGCTGATTTTCTTAATATACATGGAACTCTTATAAATCAGTAAGAAAAAGAGGGAAAACACAAAATAAAAACTGGCAAAGAGCAAACATGTAATTCTCAGATGTACATAAAAATGACAATATTAAAAAATGCTCAACTTCATTTGTGATCAACACCACACATAAAAAATGCATATAATTTTTCATCTATCATGTTGCTAAAGATAAAAAGGTATAATACAATACTGGCAAGGATGTGGTGGGGGTGTAAATTCACAGAACCTTACCAGGAGGTAATTTGGAAGCATTTTTTATAATCCAAACTGCAAACGTCCTTCGACTCAGGAAGTTATACAAACCTAGAGATATGTTTTCACACCTAGAAAGATACTTCACAAAGACATTCACCGTAGCAATGTTTGTAGCAGAAAAGCAAAAACACTATAATAACCAATGAATGGCATCAGAGAATGGATAGTAAATTGAGGTACATTTATCAAGAAAAATGCTATTCAGCCATTAATAAGATGAAACAGCTATGTACTGATAGGGAAAGATCTTCAAGACTGTAAGTAAAAAGCATGATCCAGAGTAGTATATATAATATGATCCCATTTATTTAAAATATAATGGTTACATATTTGCTTAACATACATAAAAATTTCCTGGAGATTACAAAAGAAACTTAATAGATTAAGGTTACTTTGTGGGAATAAAACTGGAGGTTAAGATGCAAAGAGGGGGATTTCATTTTCATTTTATAGCCTCCTATACTGTTTTGAGTTTTTCCTTACCATGTATACTTTTTAAAATATAAAACTGAGGAGGGATCCTCTTACTCAAAGATTGTGAACTACTCTTTTACATACATTTTTCTAAGATCTGTATCTGATGTTTTTCCAAGGCAAACTGACTTGAGGTACCACAAGTTTTTGCAGATATATTTTTTTAATAGTTATTAGTAGGGTCACACCCATCTGACAAGTTTTATTTGTTTGTTTTTAAATCACATTATCACTATATTTTTTAAGACAACAAACTGAAATGGGATGACTGCTGGATTTCTTTTTTCAAGCTTACTTTTTAACTATGGAAGTAATATGACCATTGCAGAAAATTGAGAAAACATTTAAGGGTGCAAAAAACCTACACGGGTGCTAAAATCACATATAACCACTCTTACCACTGTTAATGTTTGGTATTTTCTTTTTTCTTTGCATTATGTCAATGCATAGTAATGTCTGTACTTAAAATGTGTTTACAAAGCTAAGATCACACTGTACCCACACCTTCATATCCTGATTGATAAATATATTGTCAAATTAGTATTGTACCATTCTTCCTCATCAAGTTATTTCTGCACAAAGCATTCAGTTACTTTCTAGTTATTAGGTAAAATAAATATAACAATGAATATACTTATATCTAAACTTTTTCTGCATTTATGATTGTTTCTTAAGAAAATAATGGGATCAAAGAGTATGAATTATTTGTTTCTGATGTTTTTCAAAAAGGTTATACTAGTTAATACTTCAACCACCAGTGTAGTTTGTCTCACCATTTCCTTGCCAACAATTACTATTATCATTTTAAAATGTCATTGTTACTTCTTCAAAAAGGTCTGCTGAGAAAACTTTTCCTCCCATTAGAAAATATAGAGTCCTTTTGTGTGTCCACTCAAGAGTAGTATCTTCCCATCTAAAAGGAGGTTAAAAGAGGAACTGTCAAGCTAACCCCCTTTTTCAAACATTATTAGTTTAGTGGACGTCAATACCCAAAACACGGAGAAAGTAGCATGTAAGTCAGATTAAGGCATGTCTTTATTCCATTCTTCTTGTCCTACACTACAAATACTTCAGGTCTTTGAGATGTGATTACTGACAGCAAAACTAAAGGTAAGAAGACCAGCTGTATATTAGCTGTTTTTCTGCATCTAATGAGAACAAAAACTGTAACATTATGCAAAGTGCAAACACAAGACCTCAACATAGCCCTGTGAAACAAAAAGATGCTAGGATAACAAAACTTAAAGCAAAAATAAGATCATTCCAATTTCTTTGAAAAGATTTTTTTATTCAGTGTTTAAGATTAAAAACTACAAGATTTTGCTTGCAGCTGATGAGTGGAAAGAGGAGGAAAAAACATAAATTATCATCTGACTGGATAGTTAAAATGCTCTGACTCAAGAGTCAAATTACTCAGTAACATACCAGTTACTTTGTGTGGGTTTAGGAGTTCAGGAGCAAAACAGCTCTAAACAAAAGTTACCATCTGAGAACACAGGGCTAATGGGTATAGGACATACTGAATAAGAAAGCTGATAAAGGGAGGTTGTGGCAGATTTGATTCTTTTAAGCTTCTAGCAGTTAGTTACCATATGCAAGGACCTAACTGAATTATTTTATCTTTTGACTTGTCTGAGTTAAACGACTTTAACCCACTAAGCAGGAATTAAAGAGACACTTTATAGATTGGTTAGAAAACAAAGTAGTCCCACCTCTCTCCAGTAGAATTTTAGTTGAATTAAATCGTAAGAGAAGCAATGATTATTGCACATAATGTACTTGTCATACTACATTTGTTGTGTAGAATTTCCATTCCAAGTGTTGTTTTCATCTTCACCATCATCTTGAGTCCTCAATCTATATATCTTCCCCTCCTTTTTAAAGTCTTCCCCCCGTTTCTCCAACACTCTTTTTCTGACGGGTTCCCTGATATAAAAAAAGAGGGAGAGAAGAGAAGATGACATAAAATGAAAACAGCAGTAATACCAAGCTGTTTCCTTTACAATTCGATTAGTATAAGCAACTAGTTTTTAAGGAAAGTTCATGGATGATAATTATATCTACTATGGTGATACTATATGTTTTATATGTTTTTGGCAGTTTAACTTCACCTGTTCTCCAAAACAAACCAGCCAAATCCTATTTTCTATTTCCAAAGCTCCATTCATAGCCTCATTTACAGAAATGGTCAATGGGCAATTTTTAATCCTTTTATAATGTTCAACAATTTATTTACACAATTAAGAACAAACAGGACTTCATCTGAAAATGGAAGACAGGTGAAATTTAAGATAATTCATTGTCCAATGCTAGAGGGAAAGAGAGAGCAAAAAGGAAAACCAACAGTGGAACACAAAATTTTACCTCTCAGACATACATTCATCCCATCCTTTGTTCTAACCCAAGTCCTGTTGTTCCCTTATTTGAAAATGTTTTTAAAAGCCACACAGCAAGCTATCTGACATTATACTAATTCAAGATTAAGTGCTTCCACCCACTGCTCAGTAAGAGTCCTAAAATTCAGCACTAACAAGACGTAGCTTGAAGGCTATTCTAAGACTAGAAAAGAATTTCCCCCTGCCCCCACTGGAGTAATGGACTATGGCTATGATTGCTCTTCCTGCCTAATAGTTAAGAAAGAAATAAGATACAAACTAAGTGAGCCCAATTACAACATTTACACAAATCTTTACCTAGAAAGTCAATAGAACACAAGACTAGGATCTCCTTATTAATGGAACACAAGCAAGAATATTCATTATTTACCACATAGGATCAGAGTGATGATTTGCTATAATTATCTATTAACAGCCTAAAAAGGTGTTTAGTAATACTAGGTATACATTATAATAAATTGTGCTATTATTAGAAAGGGGTAAAATCTCAGCTTCTATAGAGTATTTTCAAATATGCAAAATCTTAACAGAGGTATGAGCTAAAATAATTAGTGTTGCCTATTAATTAATATTTTCATTCTAATCTTGACCATCTGCAAAAAAAGGACAGTCTCTTGGTAAAGGGACTAATCCAAATAATTCTCTGAAAGATGCACCATTTTCAAGTGTATACCTAGTGTCCTTAGTTTGGTCCTTCTCTAAATGACCAAGAGAAGACAGTCAGCCAGCAGATCAAAGAACCACTAGGGTTAAAATTCTCTACAACAGAATCCCTCTAAAGAAATTATGCAAGATGACTGAGAAGTTAATGGAATGAAGTATCTTGACAGACACTAATATGGCTAGCAAGAAAAAAATACTGCTATTCAGACCTGGAAAAAATCTGTTTTTACAGTTGTAGAAAGAAGAGACTTCAATAAATGGAATAATAAATCCAGCAGAGGTAAAGTAGGTCTTAGATGGCTGAGAAAACCCAGGTAAGTGAGCTTCCCTGGAGGGATGATATAATACATCTTCAAAACACTGCGGTGTCCCCCCCACCCACACAGAAAGAAGGCAAAGTATCTTTAACAAAATTTCCATGTGGGGGCATTACTAACATTTTGAAAATGGAGAAAACACAGTTACCTTTTTTCTGAATTGCTAGATGATGCAAGGTTTGAGGATTCCGATGATGCTGCTCTCACTGAGGTCTGTGCAGGAGGACTGCTAAATAAGAAGTTGCTAATCAATCTCCAGATGGCAAGGAATGGGTAAAGTACTGTCCCCAACAATGTCCAAAAGTCTCCACTGGAAGAATGTACCATGGATGTAGTTGGTCTACCTGCCTGAAAATTAAGAAATAAACCTAAATAAAGACTATTAACATTTCAATCACATTACATTCAAGGTTCTAGGTGAATCTTTAATCTGAAAAAAAAATTCCTAATAATTTTTGTTTACTAGAAGAAGTAAAAGTACTAACTCTGAGGTTTTTACCTCAGAGTACATACTCTGAAGTGTATGTAAGTTTCTGGGAACTCCTGGAGCTTTGCTTTTTAAAAGAGTAATTATAACACAGAACCCAGAAGGTAGTTTTTCGTAAAATGAATAAGTTATTTTAAGAGAACTAAACATTTGTACTAAAATTAGTAACTTTGACAAGTCATTCTTGATTATTTAAAAAAAGGGGAAATTTTCAAACCTCAGTGAATGCAATTAATCCTGATGGTTGGAGGGCTGTTTTACATGTGGGGCTATAGCTCAAGAGCAGGGAAAACTATACTAACCCAGACACAGAAGACAACTCCGGCTCTTATCTCAGCTCTGGCATGTAAGGTGGCAACTTGGCAAAGTCACTTAAGCTTTCTGAGCCTCTTTTTTTTTTTATCAGAGATTAAAATATTGTAAAGATCAAATGGGATTAATATGTTAAAAATTAATGATATTAATGATAATGAAAATTAATGATATAATGTTAATATGTTTTCTAAAAACTTGGTAAACAACAGAGGAGTGCACAGATAAAAACACTAAGTCTACAGATTAGACCCTCTGCATTTCTTATTTTCTTCTACCATTTCTTGTCCATCAAAACAGGCAAAGAAAAATGCTGAAAATTAAACTAATGCTTCATTAACAACAAAAATATATAAAGCACAGGATAATCTAACAAACTGATCTAACATTTTTGGATAAGTGGATTTTAATTATCCACTATATACCTTTCACCTTACCTTGCTCTAACTGTAAGAAACAATCAAAGATAGAACAAACAGGACTGTAAGAACAGAAAACAATACAGACATATATACATACTGGCAACAGTACCACTGAAGCACTTGGGGCAAGTTCCAAATCCAATAATTTCTTTTTATAATCTTCTTTAGTGAATTCTCTCCTGGGAAACATGGTTGCTAATGAAAAATTACCGTAAGTGTTGCCAACAGTCTGTAACATAACAGGAAGTTTAAAAACATTACAACAATGCCTTTTTATAGTAAGATATTACATTCTTACATGCATGTAAAATGACTGCTTTAATTAAAACTGCCTTGATTTTTAAAGTTCATTTAAATGTATACTCAAAAAACATTTATAAAAATTTGGTGTAGCTAAAAGCTGTCAAATCCAAATAGTATTTAAGAGTTTTAATATCCTAGACAGGTAGCTCAGTTAAGAGGATCATCCTGAGATACCAAGGTTGTGGGTTTGATCCTGGTCAGGGCACATACAAGAATAAACCGATGGATGCATAAATAAGTGGAACGACAAATCAATGTTTTTTTTCTCTCTTTCTCCTTTCTTCTCTCTCTAAAATCAGTAAATTTAAATTTTTTAATAAGTTTTAAGTAAATTTTATAAATGACCATAAAAGAGCAAGAATATAGTTCCTAAAATTATATAAACTGAATAAAAATGAACAATTAGATACTTCTTTCAAGTATGCCTGCAGTTTGCCATGAGGGTTTTCATTATCCTTTATAAACTTACATTAGTATCTCACAAATATGTTTGGATTATAAATATTCCCTATTTAAAATCTGGAATAGACCAGACTTGCTCTCATACATACATCAGGAGCTTTTGCCTCTTCTCTCAAAGAATAAATGGTCCATCATCAATCCACACCATACATATAAACCCAGACCCAGGTCATTATACTCAGCAGCATCACAGTCACCCTCACAATTTTAAGTCCCCTGCATTTGTAACGTCTTAGACAACTTTACCTAGAAGATTCCAAAGAAAAAGACTAACATTTTTGTTTTTTTGCTGTGGGTCACAGCACACATACCTCTCATTGTTTCACTCTAACATAAGAACATACACAAATACAAAATTAGGCCATTCTACTGGAGACAAGTTCTAACAGGACTGATGCAATCAAAGATCTTTTTCCTCTGATGTGGCTCCCCCTTTTCACTTACCCGTGGCAGGAGGGGGCAGTAAGACTCAAGCAAGGGGCACCCCTTCTTAGGAGGCCCCAGGTGGGGCTCCAAAGCAAAAGAATGAAAGTGGCTATTGGCTTGGTTCTACTATACCGCTTAGGGAAAAGAGTTCTGAAAATCAATTTTTATGTTGTCCAGCCCAGCTCACCAGTGGAGGAAGGCAGGCAGCAAGTATCAATCTTTGGGGACCCAGAAGTAAGGTAGCACATTAAACACAAAGAAGAGATCTAGTGGAAAGATCTAGACTCTAATTTTAACACTGATGTGATATATGAGACAAATACTGGTATAGACAATGAGTCTAGAACATATGATGCCTGGAATACATTTTGAATAAGAAATCAATCAGAAAACAAAAATTAGTTGAAAGTTACTCATATTTTCTAAGATATCAAATTTCACACCCATACAGATTTTGGAGTAAGGCCACAATTCTGGAGCTAAGTTCCTGAAGATGATACTTGTTGCCAAATGAAGATTACTGGTCTTTAGGCTTGGACAACCAGCAGAAAATGGGACAACTTGGTGGGAAAATGGCCAGCCCAAAGTATTCTAAGCAATCTGCAGAAAATGTGAAAAGGATCAAGAAATACTGCATCCTTTTAACTGACAACTCCCTCAGATTAGACCTTTGAAAAATCATTTGATTTTTGTTCATTCAGCTGAGTGTATGAAGCAGTCAAGTTTCCCAAGCTTACTGTACATCAGCAAATTCCTACTTTTTGCATGACCAGCAGATATGCTATTCCCATGTGGCACTAATAGATGATGGAAGCTCTACAACACCCAGTGCTGTCCTGTGCTTCCTCCTGGGGATAAATTATGATTTATTCACATTCTTCAAATTATGTTTAAAAATCTTCCCTTCCTACATTTTCACAACCTTTACTTCATTTACCTTTATTACAACTCAAAGCAAATTTACCTGTGCAGCAAACTGCCTTGCCTCTTCTAGAGGAGCATCAGAAGGGAACTGATTTGTAAAGGAAGAACCATCAGGAAGACGGAACTGAATCCTTGCAACAGTGCTACGAAAAAACGGAAATTTAAGTCAGCATCTTTACCTCTACATATTCTCAAACAATACCAAAAGTTAGAGAAAATGAAAGTGGAAATGTGCAGTGAACTGTAAGAACAGAAAACAATATAGACAAGTTTTTTTCACAATGTACAGTCTTTTCCACAATGTCAGATCTTTTTGCTTGTATTAAGGTCAGCATTACTAAGCTGCAATTCATGTAACATGAAATTTGCCTTCTTAAAGCATAAGATTCAGTCACTTTTAACATAGTCAAAGTGGTAAATCATCACCAATATCTAATTCCAGAACATTTTTATCACCACCAAAGAAATCCCAAACCTACTGGCATTCCTCTCTCACCTAATTCCAGCAACCACACAATCTACTTTCTGCATCTACAAGTTTGCCTACTTTGGGCATTTCATATAATGGAATCATATGTGTGACTTCTGGTAACTGGCTTCTTTCATATGCCATTATGTTTCCAAAGTTCATCCATGTTGTAGCATGTGTACACCATTACTTTTTACTGCTGCATAATATTTCACTGTATGGGCTATACGATTTTGTTTACCCATTCTTCAGTTGATGAACATTTATTTGTATTATTATACCACATTTTGGCTATAATGAAAAATGCTACTTTAAGTATTCAAGTACAAGTTTTTGTGTGGACATGTATTCTCTTGGGTTTATAACTAAAAGTAGAAGTGCTAGAATATATGGTTAAGTCTATGTTTAAATCTTAAGGAACTGCCAAATTGTTTTTCCAAAGTGAATGCATCATTTTAAAATCCCTCTGACAATGTAGAAAGGTTCCAAATTCTCCACATCCTTGCTAATACCTGTTACTCTGTCTTTAAATGTGGGCATCCTAGAGGGTTGATTTGAATTCTCTAATGACTAGTGATGTTGAGCATTTGTTCATGTGCTTACTGGCCATCTGTCTATCCCTTCTGGAGAAATGTCTATTCAAATCCTTTTCCCATATTTAAATTGAGTTGTTTGCTTTTTTTGTTGTGAGTTATGAAACTTTTTTATATTCTAAGTACAAGTCCCTTAGATATATATGGTTTGCAAATACTTTCTCCAATTCTGTGAATTATCTTTTCACTTTACTTTTATTTTGACTTTGTTAAAATTGACTTTAGTCCTGGCTGGTGTGGTTTGGTAGACTGAGCACTGATCTGTGAACCAAAGGATCACCAATTCAATTCCCACTAAGGGCATATGCCTGGATTGCGGGCCAGGTCACCAGTATTAAATAAAATATTTAAATACGAAACAAAACAATGTATTTCTTAAATTATAGCTGACATACAGTATTAGTTTCAGATTTACAACACAGTGATTAGACATTTATATATCTTATGAAATTATCACTACAATAAGACTAGCAACCATTGTCACCATCCACAATAATGGTATTATTGACTATGTTCTCAATACTGTACAATGTACATAGTGTACATTACATGCCATGACTATGACTTACTCTTTTAAGTCTATTTTATTGTTATGCTAAGATACTTGTCCCAGTTTTTTCTCTCCTTTATTTCCCTATCCCTTGCACCACCCCACCATCCAGCATTCCACACACCCCCTTGGTTCATGTCCATGGGTCATACATGTAAGTCTTTGGCCTCTCCATTTCCTATACTATTCTTAACTATTCTAATAGTATTCTATACCATTCTTAACCCTATTTTGTGCATACCAATTATGTTTCTTATTCCCTGTACCTTTTCCCCATTCTCCTCTTTCTGCCACCCTGCTGATAACCCTCCATGTGACCTCCATTTCTGTGACCCTGTTCCTGTTCTAGTTGTTTCCTTAGTTTGATTTTTGTTTTTCAGGTACACTTATTAAGAGTTGTGAGTCTGTTGTCAAGTTACTGTTTATAGTTTTTATCTTCTTTTCCCTAGATAAATCCCTTTAACAATTCATATAATAATGGCTTGGTGATGATGAACTCCTTTAACTTGACCTTATCTGGGAAAACACTTTATCTGCCCTTCCATTCTAAATGCTAGCTTTGCTGGATAGAGTAGTCTTAGATGGAGGTTCCTGCCTTTCAGGACTTGGAACACTTCTTTCCAGCTTCTTCTTGCCTATAAAGTTTGAAAAATCAGCTGAAAGTCTTATGGGAACTCCTTTGTAGGTAACTGTCTCTTTTCATCTTGCTGCTTTTAAGATTATCTTCTTCCCTTTAATCTTGGATAACTTAATTATGATGTGTCTTGGTGTGTTTCTTCTTGGATCCAACTTCTTTGGTACTGAGTGTCCTGAACTTGCATGTCTAATTACTTTGCCAGATTGGGAAAGTTTTCCTTCATTATTTTTTAAAAGAAGTTTCCAATTTCTTGCTCTTCCTCTTCTTCTTCTGGCACCCCTATGATTCCGATGTTGGAATGTTTAAAGTCGTCCTGGAGATTCCTCAGCTTCTCAATTTTTTTGAATTCTTGCTTCTTCATTCTGTCCTGGTTGGATGTTTATTTCTTCCTTTTGTTCCGAACTGTTGATTTGAGTCCCAGCTTCCCTCCCGTCACTGTTGGTTCCCTCATTATTATCCTTTATTTCACTTTGTACAGCCTTCATTTCTTCTTTTGTTTTGTGACCGAACTCAATCATTTCTGTGAGCATTCTGATTACCAGTGTTTTGAACTCTGCATTTGATAGGTTGGGTATTTCCTCATTGCTTAGATTTTTTTCCTGGAGTTTTGATCTGTTCTTTCATTTGAGCCATATTTCTTTCTCAGCAAAGTTGTTACATTGTAAGGGGCAGGGCCTCAGGTATTCACCAGGGAGGGGCAAGCCACTTCATTGCGTAGTGGCACTATATATGGGGGAGGGTTCAGAGAGGGAACAATACTGGCTTGCTTGGCTCTTGCCCCACTTTCTATCGCTTCCCTTGCTTCCCACAAGCAGATCATGCCCTTTCAGGTGCTGATTCCTGGGTGGGTGGGTTTGTGTATGTTCTAGGACCACATAGGTCCTAGACTCTTCTGTGAGGCTAGGAGTTTCTCCTGCCACTGCAAACTGCACAGGTTTTTATAGCCAGAGGTTTTAAGGATTTAGTTTCCTGCGCTGGAACCCTGGGTTGCGTGGCCTGTCTCGCTCCCCAGTTGTTCCTACTGGCTTATCCACTCGCATGTGTGTGAAATCCCAATGGACCGCAGCTGCTTTGCCTAGCCTGGTCTGCCTCTTTGCTGCAAGTCCTTTCTGCCCTGGCTTTCCATTTCCGCCCTCCTACTGGTCTGGATGAGTATTTCTTCTTTAACTCCTTGGTTGTTAGACTTCTGTACAGTTTGATTTGCTTGCAGTTCTGGTTGTTTCTTGTTTTTAAATTCGTTGTTGTCCTTCTTTTGGTTGTATGCAGAAGCAAACCATTTCTACCTACACCTCCATCTTGGCTGGAACCTACATAATCATCCCCATGACTTATTTTATAACTGGTAGTGTGTACTTCTTAGTCTCCTTCACTTTTTTGTCCTACATCCCCATTTCTGATAATTTTTTGCTTTTGAAGTCCAAAACTTTTAAATTTTGATGAAGTCCAACTTACCTATTATTTTCTTTTGTTGCTTGTGCTTTTGATGTCATGTCTAAGAATCCACTGCCTATTCCAAGATCCTAAGATTTTCTAATTTTGTTTCTAAGATTTTAAACTTTAACTTTTATATTTTGGTAAATGATCCATTCTGAGTGCTTGTCTTTGGTGTGAGCTAAGTGTCTAAATTCATTCTTTTATGTGTGGATATTCACTTGTCCAAGCACGGTTGAAGAGACTCTTCTTTCCCCACTGAATGGTCCTGGTAGCCTTTTCATAAAATCAATCGATCATAAATGCATGGGTTTATTTCTAGAGACTCAATTCTATTATGTGATCCATTCTTATGACAATTCCACATTGTCTTGGTTACTGAAGCTCTGTAGTAAGTTCTAAAGTCAGAAAAGTCTGAGTCTTGCCCTGGCCAGGTGGCTCAATTGATTGGAGCATCATCTCATACACTAACCAAAATACTGCTGTTTCTATTCCTGGTCAGGGCACATACCTAAGTTGCAGGTTCAATCCCCCATCAAAGGGCATATGGGAGGCCACTGATTGATGTTTTTTCTCTCACACAGATATTTCTCTGTCTCCAACCACCCTCCCCTCCTTTCTTCTCTTTCTAAAATCAATAAAATTATCCTTGGGTAAGGATTTTTTAAAAACAAAAGTCTAGCCTTCCACTTGTTCCTCTTCCAGACTGTTTTGACAATTCTGGGTCTATTGCCTGTCAATGTGAATTTTAGGATCAGATTTCTACAAAAATCTCAACAAAAAAACCATCTGGGGTTTTGACAGGGATTATGCTAAATCTATAAATCAGTTTGGGAAGAAGTACTGCCACCTTAAGGTGTAAGATGTGTACACTGAAAACTATAATCATTGTTTAAAGAATTAAAACCTAGATATGTGGAAAGACATTCTATGTTCCACAGGTCAGAAGATTTAATATTGTTAAGTATATTCTTAGGTATTTTATTAGTTTTAGAAATAATAGATTTTCCCCCCCTGGGTGTTGTGGCTCAATGGACTGAGCACTGGCCCACAAACCACAGGGTCACTGGTTCGATGCCCAGTCAGGACACATGCCTAGGTTGCAAGCCAGGTCCCAAGTAGGGGGTGTGTGAGAGGCAACCACACATTGATGTTTCTCTCCCCTTCTCCCTCCCCTCCCATCTCTCTAAAAATAAATAAATAAAAATTGAAAAAGAAATGTTTTTTAAAGTAATTTGTATGATTATAAAAGTCATGCTTATTAATTTTCCAATATGGAAAATATAGAAAAGAGAAGAAAATAAACACTAATCCTAATCCAACTAATAGGATATACTGGAAATCTGAAGTTTTGTCTTCATAACATGTTTTTGTTTTGGGAACTACCTTATCTGTTACATGTCACTCATTCTGATATGATTATCACTAACATTTTCTCCACCTCCTTCACCACAGGGGCTTATCAACTACCCCAACCAGAGAGCCCACACCAGCAGACTCAGTGACTGATCTAGAGGTGGCCATATCATACAAGCAGGGTCAATGAGAATTCTCCTCAGTGAGTGATATGGGCTTTGGGAGAAAGGGCTCATCTTTGAGGGCTCTTCTAACACTTAAAGTTTTTTTGAGAATGATGCTAAAACAGAAGAAACCAAGAGACTAAAGGACATCTAAAGATATCCTTTAGATTCCTGGATCTAGGTATGCCTAACCAAATCCATCAATGGAACTTCCCAAATGTAGAACCAATGAATGCCCTCTTTTGCTTTATCCTATTTGACTTGAGATTCTAACAAGTAAAGAATCCTAGCACAGTCCTGCCTGGTGTGGTTCAGTGGACTGAGTGCCTGTGAACAGAAAGGTTTGTTGGTTCAATTCCCAGTCCAGGTACATGTCTGGGTTGCCGACCAGGTCCCCAGTTGGGGGCATGTGATAGGTAATCAATCATGTATCTCTGACACACTGATGTTTCTCTCCCCTTTTTCCTCTCTTCCCTTCTCTCTAAAAGTAAATACATAAAATCTTTTTAAAAATTAAAAAAAAAAAGGAATCCTAATACACAAGATAATCACTATGATCATTTTGATGTATGTGCTTTCTGTCTTTTGAAGAGATTTTTTTCAGCCTTCTATTAAAAGTTATTTAGATACTCCCCAACTTACAATCAGGTTATGTTTCAATAAACCCAATATCATATATTCGAAGCACCTAACCTACCAAATATGACACCTTAGCCTAACCCATATTAAACTTGTTCAGAATACTTACATTAGCTTACAGTTGGGCAAAATCACCTAATACAATGAGTACAATGTAGAATATTGGTTGTTCACTCTTGTGATAGCATGACTGAGTGGGAACTGCGGCTTTGTGCTGCTGCCCAACATCACAAGATTATACTAGACATCACTAGACCAAGAAAAGATCAAAATTAAAAACTGAAGTACAGCCCTGGCTGGTGTAGCTCAGTGGATTGAGCGTGGGCCTGTAAACCAAACGATTGCAGTTTGATTCCCAGTCAGGGCACATGCCTGGGTTGCAGGCCAGTTCCCAGCAGGGGACACGTGAGAGGCAACCATACATTGATATTTCTCTCCCTCTCCTTCCTTTCCCTTCTAAAAGATAAATAAATAAAATTTTAAAAAAAACTGAAGTACAGTTTCTACTGAATACTTTTCACTTTCACACCACCGTAAAAGTTGAAAAACCAGCAAGTTAAACCATCATAAGTTAGGGAGTGTCTGTATTTAGCACCGTTGTATGGAAAATTCACGTTCAATAACAAATACCATTGGCAGCTGCCAAACTGGTCAATATATCCTCCTGGAACTATTTATTATAGCCACAGCACTCATCAGCATCAAAAAGCATCCCACAACCACTATTCTTCTCAGCAGCTACATACACAAAGATGGTTAAGCAGGAAATAAAGTACCTTCTTTCTCTTGCAGAAGAGTCCCTCTTAACTTCCATTTCTGCCTGTTTAGCCAGCAAGGCAGCAGCTTTAGCAGCTTCCACTTCTTCCTTTGTTTTTGCAAAACGAGCAGCTCTCTCTGCACGATCCTTTAAAACAGTTGTCAGACACTAATTATCTTTCACTGCCAGAATGCTCCATTCATACATTTCCAAGTAAACACATGAGTGAAATTCCTTAAAGTCATACACATTAACTTTATCACTCTGGATCTGGTATATTTCAGTTTTATCAACTACCAAAGACCAGAGTTGCTATTAAACAAACAAAGATGTGATTTTGGTCAGTACTATATCACCAGAAACTGGAACAAGATCTGGCACAGACAAATGGTAAATAATTATTTGTTGAATAAACAAGTGAACAAACAATATTAAGGTAGGCATGGTTTTCACATGTATTACAACCGCTCAATTCTAAAAGCAGTTGTTGCAAAACCACCCTAAGCTTCTACATGATGTTCTCAATCCTTTGACTGTCCCAAAAAAGAATACTTATGACTAGAGGAAACTGCTAGGTTACCAACTCTTAGCTTCTTTTCTAGGGAATCTTTGAAAACTACCTTTTGACTACTGATAAAATTCCTCACATAACATGGAAAAAATTACTTTGAAAAAAATAATCTTAACTGTACTTTAATTCAATGTACAACTTCTGTAAAAGGAAGTTGAGAATCACTACTTTTTGAGTCACTTAAAATGTATTATTTTTGTGTACATTGTTTGATAATAAACCAAAACCATTGTGCATGGAAAAAGTTTCACAAATGTTCTACAGTCAAGCATTAAAAATAAACTTAATAGCCCAGGTTGGTGTGGCTCGGTGGATTGAGCACTGGCCTGCAGACTGAAACATGGCCAGTTCAATTCCAGGTCAGGGGATATGCCTGGATCAAGGGCCAGGTCTCCAGTAGGGGGCATACAAGAGGCAACCAATATGTATTTCTCTACCACACGTTTTCCCTCTCTCCTATTTTTCCCCTCTAAAAAAAAAATAAACAAAAATATTTAAAAAATAAATACACTTAACACTCACCAATGCAATTTGCTGTTTTATACGCTCTCGAGCTGCTCTATCTTCTGCCTTTTCTCTGTTTCTTTCCTCTAACATTCTTTTTGTTAATTCCTCTTCTTGCTTTCTTTTATAATCCAACATTTCTTTTCCAGTTTTTCTCCTCTCAATTTCCTTTTTAATCTCTCTCTGAGTTAAAGAGAAAGTTTTATGAGCCCAAACTTTAATAATCTGCCCTAGATATTATTCTGTATGCATGGAAAGCTGGTTGTAGGTACTGCTAAAGGAATAAAACAACTTCATAGAATGTAAGAAGTCAGTACAGTTTATTAACAGCATGGGAAAACAGTCAAATGTCTACCAATTTCTACATCTTTGCCAATGGTACTAATAAGACTTTGATGTGGTCAATGTTTGAAAACAGAACTACAAGTCTTTGGTTTCTAAGGTGAATATGTTACCCTCAAAGGACACTAAGGCTGTCATTTATTTGGCTTGAAGAAACGATAACCTCCTTATATTAGAACCTCAAAGAGATGATGCAGATTAAGTGTGCACCATGAGAAAAGTTAATGGTGCACTAAAATGCAGCAACACCAAAGAAAAAATTTAGCAAAATGTCTACAATTTTTTTACACAAAAAGGAACTTTGATTTTCATCAAAGCAAAATAATTTTAGCTCAAGTCCCTTTACTCTTAGTGTAAAAGACTCAATGCAGAGGAAGAAATGAGCAAATTTACTTCCAGCAATTTAAAAAAAGGACTCTATGACTTTACTACAGAAGACAGATTAATTCCCTGCACTTGCAGTTGCAAAATTGACTGCAAAATAATTTTAGCTCAAGTCCCTTTACTCTTAGTGTAAAAAGACTCAATGCAGAGGAAGAAATGAGCAAATTTACTTCCAGCAATTTAAAAAAAGGATCTATGACTTTACTACAGAAGACAGATTAATTCCCTGCAACTGCAGTTGCAAAACTGAACTATAACCAAGGAGCCATCCTAGTTCTGCCAACTGAATAGGGAGTCAAATGTTCCCTCACTTAATGGAAGAGTAAAACAAAGCTCAGTACACAAACTTTACCTGTTCTTCTTCTTTCCTTTTCTCTTCTCTCCTTTCTTCAAGTTTTTTGGTTAGTCTGTATTTTAAGTTTTTAAAAAATACATTAACTGAGACACATCATATAAATATAAAATACATCTAGGAGATTTATTTAGTTAGCTAAAAATAATTGGGGAAACGTAGAAAAAACAAACAAGCAAACAAGAAAAGCTCCTGAAGGCAAAGCAACAAATTGTCTGCCTTGTCCCCGGCTGCTAGAGAAATCCCTGAGTCAGGGGGAAACCCATTAGGAAGCCTAGTTCCAGCTCTAAGTGCTTTACCTCCTACTTACACCTTTTTATCTACCTTGATTTACTTGATATCGATTTTAAAATAAACATTTACATCTGTAAACAAATATGCTTTACCACTTAATATAGAAATAAACAGCAATGTGGTACAAAATTGTTAAAAATAAAAGCAAAATACTAAATGAAAGACAGCATTTATAAAAACTAATAATACCAAAATGGAGTCCCACTGTAAGAAATTCATCAGTTAAAAACTAATGATTCTGAAAGCACATAGTAATAATGGTTGCACAATCTTGTGAATATATTAAAACCCATTGAATTGTACACTTTGAATTTTATATAATGCACATATAGTATGTGAATTATATTTCAATGTCAGAAAATAACAGAACTTTTTCTGGAAGGATTTGGGTCATACAGCTACATGTACTCACTGAACTTATGCCGAAAACCAAGGGAGTGCTCAAAGAATGAGACGTTATGTCCAAAGCACAGAAAATCTAGCATGAAGGGGATTCTATGACCCAAATCTGGGGCAATCTGTGTACCAAAAAAAAAATAATAATAATAAGAGAAGTAAACTATAACACATTAGAGAGAAAAAAAAAGGATTCATGAAACATCCTACTGCAGAAGGTAGTTATAAATTAGTATAACTACTTTGGAAAACTGACCAATTTCTATGATCTAGAAATTTTTACTCCTAAAAATACACCCAGAAGGTATGTTCAGCAAGACATTAACAAGAATGTTCATAGTGTCCTACTGGTAACAGCCCCAACCCGAAAACAATTCAAATGTCCATCAACAGTAGAATGGATAAATTGTAGTATAGTCAAATAAAAGAATCCTACACAGCAATGAGAGTGCACCAACTATTGCCACATGCAACAACACAGAAGAGCTTCACATATACAATGCTGAGTAAAGGAGAGCAGACACAGGAGTACATGTGGTTTGGTTCCATTATGATGTTCACAAATTAAAAAAAATTATCTATGGTGTTAAATTCTGGATAGTGCTTATTTTAGAGAAGGAAACAGGAATTAAGAAGGCGGCAGTAGGCTCTGGTGCATGTAGTGCACTGGTAATTTTCTATTTCTTGATCTGGATGCTGGTGTCTAATAAGAAGTTCACTGAAAAAAGGGGGGGATGGAAATTAGGAAGAGGTAGATCAAAGAGAAAGTGCTTTTCTATAGAAGAATGAAAGCTAGCTAATAAATGTAAAAAGGAATAAAGTCAGGGAAAAATAATTTTTCACTACCAATGAAATAACCGATCCAAGCAAAAATCAATGGATGCCAAAACCACTGGGTGAAAGTTTGAGGAACAGCATATTCACTGTTTCAAAGAATCACTGCATAGATAACATTAATTAGAGAACAGGGTATCCTTATAATTAAAAAATCCAACAGACACCATCTTAACCAATGATTAAACTTATTAACATCACCAATAATTCATACATCGGATATTAGTTGCCTAATAACATAACGGGAAGGACAAAACAGTACCTAGGTAATGTTTTTATCAACATTAAACTTGAACCTAGAATGATGAAGAGGGACCAGATCAACAAACATTTTAGAAACAAATAGCCTAGACTCAAAAAACGTCCCAGTCACCAAAAATGAAAACAAAAACAAAAAACAAAAGAAAGAAAATGTTTTAGATTAAAAGAGACTAAACAAAATTCAATGAATTACCCTTGAATAAATCCTGAATCTGGAAAAAAAGTTAAAAAGGACATAATTAGGATAACTGGGAAAATATAAATAAATATGATAGATTAGATAATCTCATAATTTACCATTTCTTTTTTTTTTTTAAGATTTTATCTATTTATTTTAGAGAGGGAAAGGGAGGGAGAAAGGGAGTGAGGAGAAACATCAATGAGGGGTTGCCTCTCATGCACCCTTTGTTGAGGAGCTGGCCTGCAACCCAGGCATGTGCCCTGACTAGGAACCAGCGACCGGTGGTTCTCAGGCTGACACTCAATCCACTGAGCTGAATTTACCATTTTAGTGTGATAGTGGTATTATACTAAAATCTGAAAATGTCTTTATTCTTTAATTATATACCACTTGCAGAATTCTCTTCTGAGAAAAAGATGTAATTTTGTTTTAATTTAGTTGAAAGCCCACTGCATCTTAATGATAAATCAACTGTTTCATCACTTCTGCATCTGGGAATCTATTACTCAACTGGTGTTTTCATTGGCAGATGGGGCTAGACAGGGGTCGGTGGGTGTGGACTCCAGGCTCCAACCTAGGCTGAGCCCCTAAAACCCCTAGGTGCTCAGAGCTCTCAGAATCTCTGAACCCCAGCCAATGTTTTTATTATTAAGAGATACATACTCAAAATTTTTAGCGTGAAATAAAATGTCTGCAACTTTCAAATGAATCAGCAAAAAAAGTGGTCGTTACACTCTTCTTTCAATTCTGAGGCTTGAAACCTTCCCCCCAAAAATGTTGGAATTGATGGCACTATATATTTATCTTTCCCAGATAATTCTTGGAAATATAATGCTATAAAAAATTATATAAACAAAATAATGCACTTTAATGAAGATATTTCTTTTAATCTGAATCACTAAAAGACTTATATTTCTCATATTTTAGCTCTAAAAATAAAAAAACTATTTTTTAGTATTAAAATTTTTTTTAATCTTTTTTTTTAATTTTTAAAAATATTTTCTTTCTTTATTTTTTGAGAGAGGGGAAGGGAAGGAGAAAGAGTGGGAGAGAAACATCAATGTGCGGTTGCCTCTCATGCGTCCCCTGCCGGGAACTGGCCTGCAACCCAGGCATGTGCCCTGACTGGGAATCGAACCAGGATACTCTGGTTCGCAGGCCCGCGCTCAATCCACTGAGCTATGCCAGCCAGGGCTTAGTATTAAAATTTTTTAATCTTAATTACAAATCATTAACCTTTAACAAAAATAATAAAGTTTATGGAGCTTCTGGCCAAGATGGAGGTGTAGGTAGACACACTGTGCCTCTTCACACGACCAAAATAAGGACAACAAAAATTTAGAAACAAAATAACCAGAACTGACAGAATTGAACTGTATGGAAGTTGGACAGCCCAGGAGTTGAAATAGACACATTCATCCTGACCGGTAGGAGGGGCGGAGTCGGGTAACCAGGCGGAGAGGGGTTGTGGCACAAAAAGTGGTGACACAGGACACGCAAGGCACCCCAGGTGGTGCACAAGATGGCAGCAGACAGGTCCTGAGCGCCCAGGCAGCAGTCGAAAGACCCCAGGAATGGGGTGGCAACTGGCAGACCCAGCGAGGGGACGAGTGTGAAGTGAGACACTGGCATGCAAGGCGGCTGGCTGACTGGTGGGTCCCACAATCGCATGCATATAACTGGGGAGCGAGGCAGACAGCGCAATCCAGGGTCCCAGTGCCAGGAAATAAAGCCTCAAAACACCAGTTGAAAACACTTGTGGAGGCTGAGGCGAAGGGAGAGACTCCCAGCCTCACAGGACAGTTTGATGGAGAGACCCACAGAGTTCTAGAACATACACAAGCCCACCCACCCGGGAACCAGCACCAGAAGAGTCCAGTTTGTTTGGGGGAAGTGGCAGAGGGGACCGAAATCCAAGAGAGAGCGGAGCAAGCACCATTGTTCCCTCTCAGACCCCGCCCCCACACACAGCATCACAACCCAGCAACTAGGTTGCCCCACCCTGCTGAGCACCTAAGGCTCCACCCTTCAATACAGAACAGATGCGACTAAAAAAAAAAAAGCCAAAACAGAAGAACAGATCAAAGCTCCAAAAATAACACAACTAAGCGACCAAGAGATAGCCAACCTATCAGATGTACAGTTCAAAGCACTGGTGATCAGGATGCTCACAAAACTGGTTGAATTTGGTCGCAAATTACATGAAAAAATGAAGGCTACCCTAAGTGAAATGAAGGAAAATGCACAGGAAACCAATAATGATGGAAAGAAAACTAGGACTCAAATCAATGGAGTGGACCAGAAGAAACAACCAAGAAGAAAAGAATGAAGATACAAGAATTCAAAAAAATGAGGAGAGGCTTAGGAACCTCCAGGACACCTTTAAATGTTCCAACATTCAAATTATAGGGGTACCAGAAGGGAAAGAGGAAGAGCAACAAGTGGTAAAGTTATCTGAACAAATAATAAAGGAGAACTTCCCCAATTTGGCAAAAGAAATAGACTTCCAAGAAGTCCAGGAAGCTCAGAGAGTCCCAAAGAAGTTGGACATAAGGAGGAACACACCAAGACATATCATAACTACATTACCCAAGATAAAAATGAAGGAGAGAATCCTGGAAGCAGCAAGAGATAAGGAGACAGTTACCTATAAAAGAGTTCCCATCAGACTGTCAGCTGATTTCTCAAAAGAGACCTTGCAGGCAAGAAGGGGCTGGAAAGAAGTATTCTAAGTCATGAAAGGCAAGGACCTACATGCAAGATTGCTCTATCCAGCAAAGCTTTAATTTAGAATGGAAGGACAGATAAAGGACTTAAGACACATGGACATGAACTAAAGGAGGGAAATGTGGGTGGGAGAGGGTGTGGAGGATGGAGGGGAATGAATGGAGGGAAATGGGACAGCTATAATAGCATAACCAATAAAATATATTTTTTAAAAAATCAAGTTTACTTACTCAAGAAAAGGCAATTCAAAGTAAAGTATATGTTCTCATTATGTATGAGTTTATGAGCTGACATCAATTTGACTTAGTCACCTTTCCCCTATCAAAATTAACAAAATTACTTTCCTTCAAGCTAGATAAGAAAAAAGCTTCAGCCCTAACATGGACTAATTAGTTTACCAAAAATTTGGCCTCTGGAAAGAGATTTTACAACCTGAGAGGAAAGTTAGAATTCTACATTTACTAGTCCATCTTCCCAATTTTAAGGCTGAATTTTTCATTTGTGTGAAGTTTATTTTAAAATGTCATCAAGGTTAGAGAAAAATGCATGAGTTCTGCTTTATGGAGCTTGGTGTTACATAATGGTATACATATCAGAATACCACAGGGACTGATGAGTCCAATTTACATGGGCTCAGAAGAAAACATTGCAATTTAGTTCTGTGAGACAGAGAAACTAGCAGCATGTTAGGGTTTCACAGTCCAATAACCATTCAGAGGATGAGTAAGTCAGAGGCATAAAAGCACTACAGTCTGCAACAGGGATAGTAGGTGAAGGTAACTTTAAGGTATTTAAATGAGCTAAGAGGACATTTCGCATAGGAATATTATCTAGGTTGATGTTTTTAGTTATTGTCATTGTGAATGAATCAGATTTCACAAAAGAAACAAAATTCCTAATGAAGTGTAACTTAGATTAGTAAAATGTAGGACCTCAGTCTATAATTATTAAATACTATCAGGTCCCAGGCATTATTGGTTGAATCTGATAAATTAATTTGAGCAACAATTTGAAATACTTGTATGATTTTAATTATACAACCATATGATGTGGATTTCTCAAAAGTTGTCTAAGCAACAAAGTTACTTCCCAATAAAAACTGTTTTATAATTAAGTTTGTCAACATTTCATCTAATTTCAATATTAGTATCATTTTTAATAGGCCCCAGTCTACATATATTTCATAAAATGGTCCTAACAGCGTGTTTTAAAAAACTGACACTTTAAAGGTTCTTCCAGTTTAAGGAATCTCAAACAACTGTATACCCTCTCTCATCTGATACATTAATTTTAAAAGTAATAATGCTTCAAGAAGAAAATTTAGCAACTCCAAAGCAAAGGAAAAAAAAACCTAACCCCTCTTTCATAGGTATTAATATAAACATTTTGTTCTATGTCTTTTTTTAGTAGTTTATTTTTATTGTATTTTTCCCTTACAATTTATCTCTTATACCCTCTTCCACATCCACCCACCACCTTCCCCCTACATGTTGTATCCAGCAAACATCTTAAAGTGTCTTTATTTGACTCATTATACCACATATAACACATATACGCCAATGCATGTACATTTAACTTATTAATACTAAAATGGCATTACTTATTTGTAGAACCACAGAGGGAGACAGAGCAGACATTCCCTTACAAGACAAGGGAAGCTACTAAGAAACAACAGGATGAATAAAAAAATGGAGAGAATGGGTGAAAAAGATGAAGTGGATTAAGAAATACAAATTGCCGGTTATAACATTAGTCATGGGAACGTTCAGTACAGAATAGGAAATATAGTCAATAATACTGCAGTAACTATGTATAGTGTTAGATGGGTACTAGTCTTATCAGTGTGATCACTTTGTAAGGTATATTAATATCTAATCACTATGTTGTACACCTGAAACTAATAAAATAATGTACGTCAACTATAATTGAAAATACATTTGAAATAACAGAAACAAAAACAGAAATTCCCCTTTCCCATTGCAATTAAACAGCATCTGACCTTATGCTACCTGATAAATGGCTACCTGTCGTATTTCTTATTCCCACCAACTTTACAAATCCATTTCTAATTTTTTAATTTCACTTCACCCCAAGGTGATCAAGTAAGGGTGCCCAGTGGTGGGTTTGGTGCTAGCAAAATAGAAGGAAACAAAAAAGGATGAACCCCTGGGACCTTCAGTTCCCTGCTGCAGCTCTTTAATGCCAGCTTTACATCATCTCTCACCACTATCTGACAATCTATCTGGCTTCTCACATTAAGACCTTAGTCATGCCCAACTCCTACAAAGAACAATCAGAATCTAGGTTTTGCTGAAATGAAGCTGATTTTTATAGAATTGTGAGCAAACCCAAATACCCAATGTCAGCAATTTTGAACCCTGTTTCTCTATAGCATCTATGTGAACAAGAAAACGTCAAGGATCTCTAAGGAATTTTTCTTAACATTCATTTAGTACTAAGTGGTTTTAAGTCAGGATTAAAAAAAATTCCTGCTTATCTATTTACCAATAATTCATATAACTTTTAAGAATCATTGTATAAAAGACTATGATTTACTCATTACTAAATTATTAAAGTATCAAACTAGAAACTACAAAAATTCAGAAATTTGTATCTGATTATCAGACCAACTAATAATACATGACATTTAATGGACACCCACTTATGCAGAACCCAGACTCAGTACACAGTTATAAAATTAGCTGAAATTCTTGCCCATCTGGAACTTATCCTACAGCATAGAAAGAAAAAAAGTGAAAGTGACAAATGGAAACACACATGTAACATAGTAACAGTGAAAAAAGATTCTTAGAATGATAAGACCTAAAGCTGACTGATGACTTTAGATACAAAGAACTTTACTTCTAGAATTAATCTTCATGGATACAAATAAGTAGGTCAGATAATAAAAAAATTTCAACCCAGAATTCTGAACTTCGTTTGTACAACTTTAGCTTTTACTCAAATTAACAAAATAACTAAAAACCACCCTTTTAATGAAGTATTATTTGCAAAAACATAAGCAAACCTTTCCACTCTAACAGTGAGGTCCTCCGCAGGTCTCTGATTTGAACAGCCACTGGGCTCCTGAGATGGCATGGCATGATCTGATCTCTCTCCTCCTTAAATTATTAAATAAAGAAAAATATTGCATTTAATGCCAATTTTTGAAAGGTATGAATCTTTTGGGTGATAACATTGTTAATTATTGTTTTTTAAACATTATATATTTTCCCTAATGGAGAAGGAGATAAGAAATGAAAATAGTATATCAATAAGAAATAAGAACACCCCCACAGCAGGTCTGAGCAGCTTGGGCAGCGGAAGAAGGGGCAGTGGCCAAGCAATCCAGGTCTATGAAGGCTCTGACAATGCCTCAGTCTTCAGGCACCCAACACACGCCCACCTGCATCTCCCTACTGCCACAATGCCCAAGAGGGAGGTCAGCTCTGTGAAGGGGCAGCAAAGGAGGAACCCAAGAGGAGAATAATGAGGGTGTCAGCTGGGCCTGCTCCCGCATAAGTGAAAACCAGGCCAAAAAAGGTGGCAGGAAAGGATAAATCTGCAGACAAAAAAGTGCAAACAAAAGGGAAAAAGGGAGTCAAGGGAAAACAGGATGGGGTAGCTAACCAGGAACCTAAAGATGATCCACCTCTGGAAAACACAGAAACAAAAAACAGGGAGAGTCTACCCTCAGATGAAACAAGAGAAAAGGAAGCCAAGCCTGATTATTATCATACAGCATGTCTTATCAGTGGTCCCTGTCTCTCTTCTACAATCCAGGGTATTTGTATCAACTATTTTGTAAATGCAAGTTTTTAAGTAGCTCTAGAAACATTTTTAATAAGGACATAATTCCACCTCATCCCTTTTTTTTTTAAAGAAGTGGAATCATTTACAGATTGTTCATTTTTTGGTACAACCAATAGTGGCATCTTAAATATGAGAGGCTTTGACTTTGACCATCTTGGGTGTCAGCTTAACATTTTACATGGGGATAGTTTTTACACCCTATAATACAAACCATACTAAATAGCCATTTGGAGTCATTCGTGCATTTATTATGTCTTGAACATTTTTAATTACTTTATTCTCATGTTTTTGGTAGAAATGTTTCCAAAAGAAAACCAGTCCTTAATTTTGGCTCTCCCTGTCAAAATTCTATGCATTCTGTAACATCTTTGGTGTGACAATCCAGTTTTCCTAATAACTATGTTAATTTGCTATGAAAAACTGAAAATTCAACTGTGTAGTATATATGATATTAAACTGTGAATTAGTCGAACTTTGACGTAACAGTGTATCAACATTTGCAGATATTGGGACCTGATACTCTATTAAGGAAAATTAGTCTCCAAATTTTAAGCTGGAAAGTCAATGGAAGAACTTCAGAAAAGAATCAAAACTATGACTTAACATTTTTGGTCGATATGTTAAGAATTGTTTACAAATTGAAATGTCTGTGCTCTTATTCTCAAAACAACCGATAAACTCTCACTTATGAAAAAAACAAACAAATAAATAAATAAATACATAAGGCAGTTACCCAGTTGAGGGCCACCAAGGTAAAACATGAAGCAATACTGGTCTGGCACAAGGGGATACAATAAAGGTGGAGTGAGCGGGACTGGATGTAGGTAGACTTTCACTCTAGAGCAATGCTGCCCAATATGTGTGGTATCCAGTGCAGCAGCCACAAGCCACATGTGGCTAATGAGCCCTTGAAACAAGGTTACGCAAGTGAGGGTCTAAATTTTTCATTGTATTTAAGTAAAATAGCCACCTGCGGCTGTGGCTACAGTATTCAACAGAGATGCTCTAAAGGCCAAGTTTGATCCTGGATATTGCTTTACATTTACATAGACTCAATGGATGCTTCTATATACCAGAGTGATTCCTTAGAGAAACTTTTTGTATGTATCTACACTAGTAATCTTCTTAAAAAAAGATTTTATTTATTTTTAGAGAGAAGAGAAGGGAGGAAGAAAAAGAAGAACAAAACTTTAATGTGCAAGAGAAACATCAATTGGTTGCCTCTCACATGCCCACAACTGGGGGCCTGGCCTGCAACCCAGGCACATGCCCTGACAGGGAATTGAACAGGTGACCTTTTGGTTTGCAGTATAACACCCAACCCACTGAGCCACACCAGTCAGGGCTCTACACTAATATTCCTTTAAGAATTTCCTGAAAGAATTTTGTCCTGGCCTGTTGCAGTAGATAGCTACAGTCTGGCACTTCCTTTTACAGCCTCTGCCATTTCCTTCCTTACCACTCACCACCAACTTGTTACTTCTTTCATTTTGGATCTTTGAAAAAGCAAGGACTATGGAGCAATAAAGTCTGGGTTCAAGTCCTGTCACTTGAGTAAGTTACCTAATCTCTCTGTGGCTCATCATATGTAAAATGGGGGTGGTAATCTCCTGGAGTTGTTTTGAGAAACATGTTAATAGAAATTAAATGCTTAGCCTTTTACTAAGACTGGAACATGATGTTTTAGTTATTATAGCCATTTTGGAAATACTAGAATTACTTAGTAGAGCCGATGCTACACATCTCTTCATACCTCTGCATTCAGTTAGGTAGCTTGGTATCAGCCACAACAGGAATATTTTACACCTTGGAAATTAGCAAACACTACAAATAAAGGCTCCCCCCCCAAAGGCCTCTTGTTAAATATTTACTAGCACACTGCTGAGTACAATCCTTGGATAAGCTAATAAGCTATTTTGTTCATAAAGTTATGTGTATATTCTACATTTTCAAGTCATTTATAAAATGTCAAAGACAGAGGACTCTGTAACATACCATTAGAAATCCCCCACTATATGACACATATTCATTTTCCTTTCAGTCATAAGTCCACATAACTATATTATTACACAGCACTTTTTTTCAGTTTGTCCTCTAAAAGTTTTGTTAGCCCTGGGTGGTGTGGCTCAGTGGATTGAGTGCCAGCCTGCGAACCAAAGGACTGCTGGCTCAACTTCCAAGTCAGAACACATGCCTGGGTTGCAAGTCAGGGCCCCAGTGGGGGGTGTGCAAGAGTCAATCACACACTGATGTTTCTCTCCCTCTCTTTCTCCTTGCCTTCCCTTCTCTCTAAATATAAATAAAATCTCAAAAAAAATAAAAGTTTTGTTATTTGCTGTTATCAAGACATGACTATCTTTAGCATTCATTTTATTTACTAAAGAAGTTACTAATTTCCTACTGAACACACACTTAGAATGGTTTGACTTACAATTTTTAGACTTTATGATGGTAAAAAAGCAATACACATTCAGCAGAAACCATACTTTGAATTTTGGTATTTTCCTGAACTAGTGATATGCGGTAAGGCACTTTCCCATGATTCTGGGCAGCAGCTGCCAGCAGGAGCTCCCAGTCGGAAATGCAACCACAAAGGTAAACAAGTGATACTCCACACTGTACCCTGTTACCAGTGTTTTTCTGATACCGTGTTCCGAACACACTTAAGGCAGGCTAGGCTAGGCTATGTTGTTTGGTAGGTTACATGTATTAAGCACATTTTTAACTTATATTTTCAACTTAAGGGTTTACCAGGACATAATCCCAGTGTAAGTCAAGGAGCATCTGTATTCAAAAGGCAGTAAGAAATTTTGGAAATTATAAATACCCAAGTAAATGTAAAACACAACTATTCTGCTGTACACCTAATGGACTACATTTATAATAGAGTTCCCCAGTCCTAGCTGCATCCAGAATTTAAGTGACCTATGTATGTAAAACCTTAAAATGAGACTTCTAAGGGACCTGATAGCTGTTCTTCAAATATTCAAAAAACTGTTACAGGTAACTCCATAAATAGCATTCAAGTTAATACAAAATTGTAGGGCATCAAGTTTCAGCTCAAGATAAGAAAAAACTTTTCTAAAAACTAGGGTTTCGACAACGGAATAGCTTCTTAGGCAGATAATGACTTTCCTATAATTAAATGTACTCAAATAGAGGCTTAATGATTAACCAGGATAGACTAGGATCATCTTTTAGGATACTAACGTTCTAACTTTTTGCATCTAACCCTATGTTGACTAATACAAAGCTATAGTACACCAAACTACTCTGACCACAATCCCTAATACATACATAAAATTTCTTTTGTCTTTTCCATCAATCCCTCTTCAGTCACACCTCTTATTTCTACAAGCTCTATTTTACAGTTATCTTTTCATTCTAATTTCAAAAATACAAATATTATCCTCAAATGTGTCTAGTAGTTGAAGGGTCATCAAGGAACATGTATAAAGGACCCATGGACAAAGCCAAAGAGGGGCAGGATAGAGGGCAGAAGGTGGGGGTGGCTGGGGTGGAGGAAAGTGGGGGTGGGTAAATGGAGACAACTGTACTTGAACAACAATAAAAATATTTTTAGTTTTTAAATAAAAAACGATTACAAATACATTAGTTCATTTGGGCCTTTCAAAATCCTCTAGCTGGGAAGACATTTAGAAACTGCTTGAGTATCATAACAATAGTCCCTAAACCATAGCACAGTAGTACAAATTACAAATCAACTATTCTGGACTGTTCCCTATTTGGGTTTGAAGGCCATATTCACTGACTTTATCCTCTTCTGCCACTAAATGACAAAGGTGTATTTAAGACAACCCTTAAATTTTAAGTTTTAAGTGAGGGGGGAAAATATGATCTATTTTTTAAAGGATAGTAATCCATGGCTTTTAAAATGAAATGAAGGAACACACTTCTATTGTACCCAAAAGATACCCTGAAAACTACCTGTTGCAGAATCCGACTTTGTATCAGAAGTGGATGGTGCCTCACAAAGCTCTCCATTTCCACACAGAGAATTTTCAGAAGTGTTGTTGGGTTCAAATGAGTTGGATGGAGTAGAGACTGAACTTTCTGACTCGCTGCCATTTGCCACCGATGATTCACCTTTTAATAAGTGCATCTAAGGAGAAAACACATCAAAATTTAATTAACAGCTAAGAATCTAAATTTACTATGGCAGAAGAGACAAAATATGAAAAGGTCACTAAGTATCTACTTTCTAAGTAGACAAATCTGAACTATATAATCCTAAATATAACATCATCACCTTATGTAATTCTACTCTAAGTTGACAAAAGCGTAAAAAGATTTTAAGATTTTAAAAGTACAATGTTGCTTTTCCTTCAAATTACAATTCAAGGGGAAAAGTTACAAGCTGCAATAGTCATTTGCCCAGAGTAGATGCAATGAGAAATTGAGTAAGGTCCTTAAAACATGTCAAGCAATATACAGGTAGGTACCTTAACATGACAACTCTCTTGCAACAAAGAATGATGTGCATTTATGTGGTTGGTTGAGGGAAGAAAAGAGAAGGGGAAATACGAAGTCACTCAAGTATTAGGTACAGGCACCTCTAACTTCATAATGCTATTTTTAAAAGCAGTCCAGGAAGAGAGTATTTACTACCTTTCAAATTTAATGGCCTGGCAGATTCCTGAATATACAGAGCAGTTCCAAAAATATTCTAATGTCAAGTTCCTGGCTAATCATTTTCACATGTTTATGCAAAGAACAATTCTGTTCCTTCTCACCTGCCGCACTTTGTGAATTCTTGTAACAAGTTCATCTGCAGAAACACTTCCAGCTATTACTTCCAAGGGAATTCCACTGTCTCCAATGAAGAAACTTGATGGAACACACACTACAGGATCTGCACAGTTTAATTAAGTCCAACAATTTATGGGAAACAAGGGATAGTTTTATGAAACACTACTAGCAACAAAGCAAAATAAATCATCTTTGTGAATTTCACAAAATAATCAGCTAACATGTTTACAAAATAATTTCAATTACTGCATGTGATATGGGAACTGATTTATTATGTATCTGTATTGTATATATGAGTGGAAAACATCTACTGCATCCCCCTCTATCATAACTTTTACATTCATATTGCGTTTTGTCAGCCACTTCTAACATGCCAACCAAACTACTTTCTAGATGCTCATAATAAAAAAACTCCCCATGATTCCATCTACTACAACGTACTGTCTGAAAGGACACTCAGCAGTATAAAGTTCCCATAAATAAGAATGCATGAGTTTGTAAATACAAATGAGTGACTTCTAAATGTCATAAATTAAACGAAAGAAAAGTAAATCCTCAAACAAAATATATATAAGAAACTGATTCTTTGTTGAAAGGATACAGATTTGTGAGAACTGTAGGCAGGCTTCACTGTAAAACAAAATCAGAAAAATTGCTAGATGAATGCAAGTGTTAACCAAATACTGAGTTGTTTCTATAAAAATTTACTGTAAAAATTGCAAGCATTTTTCTGAAACTACTAGTTCCTTTCAGAGCCATCAGCTGGTAGGAGAAAAATATAATTCTTACTTCACAGACCTTTGTTTTACAATTTTCAAATTAAAAGAACTTACTACTGTAACCCATAAACTGGTGGATGGATCTGGTTGATTAAAATTCAAGTATCTGTCATGCTGCTTCCTCAGAAGCAAGTACACATGACTATAGTATCTTGTAACAAGATATTTATGCCTATGACTTACCTGTGTAAGAAATAATACAATACCTGAAAATAACAAAGGATTCAAAACAACTTAAAATATTCACCAATAAAACTAATTATGCAATCATAAAAAGAAAAATGGTACAAAGAAGTATGTCAAACTGCTTTTTTTTTTTGGTAAAAAAGAAAAGGAAAACAAATATAAATACATTTTATTGATTTAGTTGCCTCCAGAAAAGAGAATTGGATGGTTAAGAACAGAGATAGAGATTTTAGCCCTGGCTGATGTGGCTCAGTGCATTGAGTGTGGGCCTGTGACCCAAAGGGTCAATGGTTCAATCCCTAGTCACACTGGGTTGCAAGCCAGGTCCCCAGTTCAGGGCATGCAAGAATCAACCACATACTGCTGTTTCTCTCCCTCCCTTTCTCCTTCTCTTCCCCTATAAAAATAAATAAATAAATAATTTTGAAAAAGAGATTTTATACTATAAAGCGGTATTAATCAGTGTAAATGAGTAATTCCAAAAATTAATGCTTCCAAGAACTAGAAATTTGTTTCATTTTTTCTGAATATAAAACATTATCATAAAAACATAAAATGAAAATATTTTTTAAATTACCAAGAACCCTACTTTCTCAGAAATAACCACTGTAGACTTCTGATGCATGTCCTACCAATTTATTTTCAATGGCGGTTATCTCCATAAATAAATATACACTAAAATGTTCCTAGAAAATTAGGTAATTTCATTATTGTATAATAAGTAGAATTAACTTCTCCTAATTTTTTAAAGACTTTATTTATTTTTAGAGAGAGGGGAAGGGAGAGAGAAGAAAGGGAGAGAAACATCAGTTTGTGGTTGCCTCTTGAGCTCTTCCCCACTGGGGACCTGGCCTGCAACCAAGGCATGTGCCCTGTCTGGGAATTGAACTGGCAACCCTTTGGTTCACAGGCTAGCATTGAGCCACACCAGCCAGGGCCACTCCTCATAATTTAAAAGACACTCTAATTCTACCAACAGGCACTCCACAGTGAAAGAAACATCAACCATCACTATACGCAGGCATCCCTCCATCTGCTAAGAGGAATGTTTTTAAAAATGCTAGATAAGTAAGTCTGTATATAGTCTCAAGAACACTGAAATTTGACTTCCGCCAAGATGGAGGCATAGGTAGATATGCCATGCCTTCTCACACAACCAAGTTTAGAGACAACTAAATATTAGCAACAGAAAACACAGCCAGAACACGGAAAATTGAACTTTTCGGAAGTCCGTTAACAACAAATTCTTCAGTCTGACCGCGTCATAATCCAGCGACTCTGAGTGGCCCCGCCCTGGTGAACCACCTAAGCCTCTGCTCCTCACCCAACGGCAGGAAACAGCAGAGGGTGCCGCCATTTCCCCGCTCTGACCACGCCCCCACATATAGCAACACAACAAGGCGACCTGGGAGTCCAAGACTCTGCTCCTCACACTTAAAGGGCGCGAACAGACCAAAAATGGCTCAAGAAGATCTCAAAGCCCCAGAGCCTATAAATCTAAGCGATGAAGAAATAGCAAAACTCTCAGATGCACAGTTTAAAACACTGGTCATCAGGATCCTCACAGAACTGGTTGATTATAGCCACAAATTAGAGAAACATATGAAGGCGAAACTAATTGAAATGAATGGAATTGCACAGGAAACCAATAGCGATGAAAAGAGAACTGGGACTCAAATCAATGGAGTGGACCAGAAGAAAGCAAATAATGGCCAAACAGAAAAGAGTCAAGAAGCAAGAATTCAAAGAAATGAGGAGAGTCTTAGGAACCTCCAGGACATCTTTAAACGCTCCAACATCTGAATTATAGGGGTACCAGAAGGGGGAAAGGCACAGCCACCAGTGGAAAACTTATTTGAACAAATAATAAAGGAGAATTTCCCCAAGCTGGCAAAGGAAATAGACTTCCAGGAAATCCAGGAAGCTCAGAGAGTCCCAAAGAAGTTGGACCCAAGAAGGAACACACCAAGGCACATCATAATTACATTAGCCAAAATTAAAATGAAGGAGAGAATCCTAGAAGCAGCAAGAGATAAGGGGACAGTCACCTACAAAGGAGTCCCCATCAGACTGTCAGCGGATTTCTCAAAAGAGACCTTACAGGCAAGAAGGGGCTGGAAAGAGGTATTCCAAGTCATGAAATCCAAAGACCTACAACCAAGATTGCTCTATCCAGCAAAACTTTCATTTAGAATGGAAGGACAGACAAAGTGCTTCTCAGATAAGATCAAATTCAAGGAGTTCATCATCACCAAGCCCTTATTATATGAAATGTTAAAGGGACTTATCTAAGAAAAAGAAGTTTAAAAAACATGAACAGTGAAAGGACAAACTCACAGTTATTAACAACCACACCTAAAACAAAAGCAAACTAAAAGGACAGCTAGATCAGGAGTGGAAACATAGAACTGAAGATCTCAAGGAGGGTTAGCAACAGGGGAGTGGGAGGAGGAGTAGGGGGGAGAAGGTACAGAAAATAAGTAGCATAGACAGTAGATAGAAAATAGATGGGGGGGCAAGAATAGCATGGGAAATACAGAATCTAAAGAACTTGAGACACATGGTCATAAACTACAGGGGGGGTAATGGTGGGGATGGGGGGTAGGGTGGAGGGGAATGAAGGGGGGCAATAGAACAACTGTAACAGCATAATCAATAAAAAATTTTTTAAAAATTAAAAGAATAAAAAAGAACACTGAAATTTGTATTTCTTCCACATTCCCAATAAAACCCTACATTCCTCCTGCCATTACTGATTCTCAAAAGTGCTTCTGAAAGATAATTAACAAATGATATAATATACATTAAAATGATAGATTCTTGTTAGAAAACTATTACAGCTCAATAAACATAGTTCAGTAACTATTCTTGTGAAACAGACTGCACTGCAACTTACTTTATGAAGTTTATGAATACTGAAATTTTTAAATAAAAAGTTTCTAAACTTACAGGTAAATTTCTGAACGTCTTAATCTTGACAGTTTTCAAGTATTATTCAGTCTGATAATATTAATATCAAGAAGACAGGAAAACCAGTTTGTAATTACTAATGAATTAATGTTTCGAGGAACTGATCATTGATGGCTGCTACTATCATCATCAAGAAGAGTAACAGGGCATTATGGGCCTTGTAATGGAAGATACACCACCATCTGCAGGGATATCAAACTCATTTTCATCTGGGGCCACATCAGCCTCATGGTTGCCTTCAAAGGGCCAAATGTAATTTCAGGACTGTATAATGTAACCACTCCTTAACTAGGGGCAAGGAGCTTGGTACTGCTGCCAGGTAGAAAAACAAGGTGCCAGGCCAGATAAAACAAGGTGGAGGGCTGGATTTGGACCTGAATCCAACTGTCAGAGGAACAGAGGACAGAGGAACAAACTAAATGATACAACAGAGCTGCAGTATACATAATCCATACTAGAGGAAACTATGGTATCTTCAAAAAATATATAGCAAACAAAAAGACAGAAAGAGATATAGAGGCAAAGCCTATAGACTGAGACTTAAGAAAGATCACTACATCACAATGTGTGAAACTTGATGGATCCTGAATCAAAAAAACTGTAACAAGTTAAATTAATAATAAAACTGACTTTGATAATATAACTGAAAATCTAAAAGCTGGGTGGATATGTGATATTAAGGAATTACTGTTTTTGAAGTATTCCAGTTATGTCAAAAAACTAAGTATCTTCATCATTCCGAGATATACTAAAATATAGATGAAGTGATGCAATGATTGAGGTTTGTTTCTAAATTATATGGGATAAGTGGAAATGGGTGGGAGTATAGATGACAAAAGGCTGATCATGCATTGGTAAGACTGAAGGAGCAGACAAGTACATGGGGGTTTATTACACTCTTCAATTACTTTTTATATATTTGAAATTTTCTATAAAAAATTTTAAGGTGGGGAGGAGGGAAGCATTAATGAATAAAATAGCCTTGTGGATAGCACATACTATGAGGGACCTATAAATGTCCTTATTCCTATTAAACACCTCCACTCCCCAAAATAGGATCCAAAAGAGTGGTCAACCTTTCAGAGATAGTAAATATATGATTTACAGTTACTTCCAAGTTTTCAGAAGCTAAGGATCACAGGTTTTTTTGTATTCCTGCTTGGTAGACTAGGAGAACTTAAGTTTTTCAGTAAGATATATTGATAAATTTGAAAAACAGTCATCACAATTTAAGACCCCAATATACTTTAGACAAAAATCAACATTTTTATAGTCTAAAAGCATCACAATAAATCACAACCAAAAAATATAGTTACAATGTTTTTTAAAAATGAAAGATTAAAACACAAGCAAACCTTTTGGTATCAATTTTAATAGCGACAAAACTGTTTGAAGATGCTTCTGTCACTTTCTCATCTTCCCAACTTGCAGCCATCTGTGTAGATTGCTCATCATCACCTATAAAAGATTTCAAGGATTCTGATCATAAGGCCAGTATCTGCTGATTCTTTCCCTGGAAACTGCAAATATAATATAATACCACAATTAATATTTTCTACCAAGTTTAAAAACTAAATTTTTCTATAAAACAAAAAGTGTGACTATATGCATTATTACTAAAAAGTGGTAAAATACAAAATACTGCCATTTAGATTATACAAAGCATTTTCTAAAAGAAAACATCCAAATAGTACCCACAATAATTAGAAGTCGCATGTACAAATGTAGAGTAACTATTTTGACTTTTCAACATATGATTTTAGATATAAATGTACAACATTCCTTCTTTATGTAGCACCTTCCTGTTGAGTTCAACGTCCTCCACATTTATACTGCAGAATTCCTCCAAGGTAGATATAAGCAGGTATAATTCTGTTTACAGTCTTGGACTTGCTTTTTCTTATTGGTATGCTAACCATAAAAGTTATGCTGACCCCAAATTCTAAGGTAATAGAATTAAATATAGTGGCTACCTGGGTAGAGGTGCTAATGATTGGGAAAATCATTAGCATGAAGAGCATGAAGGAACCTTGTGGACTGCTGGAAATGTTTGTATCTCATTTGGATGACATTATACAAATGTACTCATTTGTAAAAATTCATCCACGTGTTCACTTAACATACAGGGTCCAGCAGAAATAAGGCCCTTGAGTGTGGCTGGTAGGGTACATGAATGTCTCTCATGAGACAGACAGCAATTTGAACATTTTACCTAAAACATCATAAATAAATATACACATTTGTTATATCATACACATTTTCCTTATTTATTAAATAATTATTAAATACTATACACATTTATTAGAGATGTTACTTGTGCTGGATTCTGTATTTCATTTAACATATTGTATGTCACACTCCAATGACAAAATTTTTAAAAGTTATATCTATTGCCCTGACTGGTATGGCTTAGTGGGTTGGGTACCCACCACAAAACCTTGAGGTCAAGGTTTCCTGGTTCAATTCCCTTACTGGGCCACATCCCAGGGTGGGGGCATATGAAAGGCAACTGATTGATGTTTCTCTCATGCACTGATGTTTCTGTCTCTTTTTCTCCCTCTTCCCTGCTCTCTATAAATAAATAAGTAAAATCATTTTTTAAGTTAAAAAATAAAGTTATACCTATCAACAAATTGTTTCCATTCTAGACCTATAATGTCCACAGCTTAGCATAACCACTTAGTAGTGGACAGAGGGAAACATATCTAAGTAAGTCACTAAAAAATATTTCTGAGGTTAGCAGAGCTAAGCATTTTCTCAAAGGTGAGTAACCTTTGCCAATTTACAGATGAAAAAAGTTTTCAGGCCACATTTTTCATTTCACAAAAATGAGATTATTCTATACCTACTCTTTTGTTAGCTGCTTTACCCCCTGTAACTCCCCCCAACCCCACCCCCAGCCAATTTAATCCATACTTAGCCTTTCCCATCTCAGTTATCTGTTTACAGAACTCCATCCTTTTACTCTAAGGCCAAAAACCTTAGTTTCCCTTGACTTCAGTTGACTCTATCTCCAAAATACAGTTGACCCTTGAACAACACAGGGTTGGGGCACCAATCCCCCCCCCCCATGGAGTAAAAAATCTTCCTATTACTTCTAACTCTACATATTTATTGAAAAAAAATCTATGTATAAAAGGACCTGTGCTGTTCAAGGGTCAACTATATACCCAGAATATATCTTACTACTTTCACTACTACTACCCTGATTTATGCTTACCACATCTATCTAGATGATTGCAATAGCCTCCTAACTGGTCTCTGTCCTCAGTGTATTTTATTTATTTTTTTTTAAAGAAAAATTTTTTAAGATTTTATTTATTTATCTTTAGAGGAGAAGGGAAGGAGAGAGGGAGAGAAATGTCAATGTATGGTTGCCTCTTATGGATCCCCTGCTAGGACCTGGCCTGCAACCCAGGGATGTGCCCTGACTGGGAACTGATCTGCAATCCTTTGGTTTGCAAGCCCATGCTCAATCCACTGAGCTACACCAGCCAGGGCCTTCTTAAAATTTTTTAAGATTTTATTTATCTTACTTTTAGAGAGAGGAGAGGGGAAGACTACGGGGAGAGAAACATGTGAGAGAAACATCAATGAGTTGCCTCTCCTACTTGCCTCAACTGGGACTGAACCAGCAACTCAGGCCATGTGCCCTGACCAGGAGTGAGGAATGGAACCTGAGATCTTCCACTTTGTGGAATGATATCCAACCAACTGAGCCACACTGGTGAGGACACTCAGTCTATTCTTAACACAGCAACTTTCCTTAAGCTCTCAGGTCTCATCAATCCTACAATGGCTCCCTATTTTCCCTCAAAGTAAAAGCCAAAGTCCTTACAAAGGTCCAGTTACCTCTATTCTATTTTACTTTCTTGCTATTCCTTTCTCTTCTATTCTTCAAATTATGAAAGACATTCATTTAAAGGTCTTTGTACCTGTTGTTTCCCCTGCCTGGAATGTTCTTCGGTAAACACTTGCTCAAATATTATCTTCTCAATAAAGCCTTTCCTAATCACCACTCTAAAATTATCCAACCTTCAGATATTCCCAAAGGTTCCTTATTTCCTGCTTTTTTCCTGTTAATACTTACAACCTTTTAATAGAGTATGTTTTCACTTGTTCTGTTTACTGTTTATTGTGTCTTCCATTGAATGCAAGCTGCAGAAGGGCAAGGATTGTTTTCCTCTTTACTTAGTGATATGTAATAACTCAAATGTCCACAACAAAACCTGGCGTAAGTAGGTGGCATATAGCAGGCTCTCAATAATTATTTTGTGGAATGAATAGCTAAGTTTTTAATATAGTATGACTAATGCTGCACATTTGAGTGTATTTTGTAGGAAATGAGATCCAGGAATATTAGGAATAGGAGCTTGAGAAATCTGGGGAAAAAGAAACAGGGACTTTAATGCATCCACAGACTAAAACCAAAAAGAGTGCCTATCAGCAGACTCCTAGATGTCGAAAAGTATCATTTTTCTGAGCACCTCTTAAGGCATTATGGGCTGCAGAGAGATGTAAAATTCCAAATCAATGACAAGAATATCAACCTTAAAAATAGCTGTATGGGAACATGGTTACTAAAAACATTTCTTAGAGAAGACTGTGAGGCATCAGGGATACTTTCTATTCATTATTTTATAAATTTCACTATTGTACTCCACATTTATTCTGTGCTAGGTTTTGAGCTATAAACTAAATATAAAACAAACGAGACACTGCCCTCAGTGGAGATTAAAATGTAATGGTACAGAAAAAAGTACTTGGTTAGTAACAAGTGTTGTGGAAAAAGAACAGAACTGAGAGAAAATGAGACTTCTTTAGACTGGTCAGAAGCTCTCTGTGTGGTGACATTCGAGGTAAGACCTAAGGGATAAGAAAGCTGAGCTATGCCAAGAGCCAGAAGAGCTCACTGAGGAAAAGAAATTCAGGTGTAGAGAAAGGCCTATGTGACTTATAGTGTCATGAACAACAGGGAACACAAGACAGGTTGAGACTGAAGATTTGAGTCATAGACAAACCAACTGGATGTAAGGTGGCACCATTTACTTAGATGTAGAACAATGGGGGAGTTCAGGCAGTACTTTACTTTTAGGCTTTAGAATCCTATGAGGGATCCAGGTGGGGGATTTCAAGTAGGTAGCTTCAGATATGGATCTGCTACTTATGAGGTCCGTACTTTGTACTCCCTCACCTATGTTGTACCATGTGGTTAGGGTCCCAGATGTCACATCTCCCCAAACAATGTCTGTCCATGACTCAGCCTAGTGGCAGTAGCAGCTGCAAGGCCAAGAGGTGCAAGGCTGGAATTGCTTAACTGGGTGAGAGCTATCTTAACACTACTGAGTGGAATTAGTAGTTGGCAACTTCAGTATTTTTAGTTTCTTAGTTTTAATCAAATTATGAACTATGCTATGGAGTTAGGTGGGCCTAAGATTTTAGGAAAAAACACTGTCTCCTTGGTGGTCTCAATGGTATTCAAAGTAAAGGTACTTAAAGAGAACATTACAAGCTCAGAAGCAAAGAACTGCAGACCCTAGTAGAGCAGGCAATTCAAACCTAGAAAACCCCCACTGGTCAAAACTTAAAGGTGTTTAGGGTGTATTTAACCAAAAAAGGCAGTAAAAAGTGTCTGTCAAAGAAATGTTAGCCCACTAGCAACACTAGTCAGTGAACTGACACCTTACTTTCAGGATCCTTATCAGATTATTCTTCTTCCCATGAACACAATCAAATCTTTTTTAGTTTTCTTCCTTTCAGTTTACATAGCTACAATAGTCTGAAAATCCTTGTTAATTTGCTGGCTGAACTAGTAATAATCTTTCTAGTCTCCTAATGTCAATCCTACAATATTCTTTAATTTATCCATGAAAAGTTCACTAAATGTAAACAACTTGCCTAAAATATTTCCCACTGGTATAGTTACGTGAAGCAAAGTTACTGTTAAGACCACTCCTACCACTCCTAAAAAGCTATAAAGATATCTTTTTAATTTTCTACTAAGTTAGAATATTATTGTTGAGGTCTCAGATCAAAGAAAATCATGAGTTCTGGCTGATGCTTCAGAGTTATAAACAAAGGAACAAGTATTGCAGTTTCAAGACGTTATTGAATTCCTACAAATAACATCTACAAATTCCTACAGTGACACTAATCTTACCTTTTCTTGAGATAACTTCCTAAAACACTAGAAAAGGAAACAAGAATTCTGAAGGGGTCAAGGGACAGACTGACAGATTGCTAACAGTCTTCCTACAAACACTCAAAGGAATAATTAATATTCTAAAAGCAAAGAATACATGCATATCAGTAAAAAGTTAATTGAAGAATGTGCACATACATACAAAGCCCCAAAGACCTATAACTTTATTTCACTATTGTAATAATTAGCACTACTGTTTTCCAAATGTTTGTTAATTAAATCTAGCATTAGTTCTTGCAAATTAACTGGTTAGCCCAAGAGTGCCTTCTAGGAACATTTGGATACCATCAATTGTGGTTTTTGTTTAAAAACATGACTACCATATTCCTTTCCTGATTTCAGTAATGACATAAAGTCTATAATTGCTTCGTTTTTTTTTTTCATAAGAAACGAACACTTCTTTTTAAGCAGCTAAAAAAAAAACAACTGGTCAAGACAAGATGTAAATACTATTTTGTGATCCTGGTGCTTGTCATTTAACCACTCTGGACATAAGTCTCCTAGTCTATAAAATGTAGATAATAAAACCTATTCTATCTTCTACAAGAATCAACTGAGATTTTATGTGAAGGACACAACTTAAAATGTCATAAAACTATTATATATTCTTTTTTTTATTTTTTAAATTTATTGTAAGTACAGTTTTCTTTTACTCCCATCCCAGTCCTCCCATGCAGTGCTCCCCACCTCCCTCCCATTCCCACCCCCCTTAGTTTTTGTCCATGTGTCCTCTATACTTGTTCCTGTGTATATATTCTTAATAAGCATAGTATTTATCATTTAATTTTCTTTTTAATCTTTTCTTACAGTATCACAGCAGTTATTTCTGTGTGAAATAAAAACTGTAAAAGAACATAATATGTACTCAAACTCTTCAAAATTAGCAGCTTTAGAAATTTACCTATAAATTTAGCATAATTATAAGTGTCAAATTTAATGCTAATTAATACTCAATTTCAGCAACTTGTTCTCACTGCAGTGCATAAAGTGAGAGCTATTATGTAGTCTCCCAAGAGTTATGAGTTAATGAATAAACTGTTATTAAACACATATAGTTGAAATAATAACTTCGAATTAACAGTAATCAAGAACACTGATTTGGTTCCTGTAACAAGAATCAGCAAACCCATAGAGGCATAGGTTTACTGTAAATCTTGAAGATTACAGTAATTAAATAGGAGAGTAATAAAATACGGAGCACAGTAACCCAGAGAAACCCGCGGTAAATGAGTTAATACACGTCCTGGAAACTGTAGATATTAGACCAGGAAAACAAAAAGAACCAAGGACGAACGTCTACTTCTTTTAAACAAATGGTTTTAAAATATCAACTTGCAACAAGTAATTATTTCACATTGGAACCCTCCCCACTACTATTAAAAAGATCAAACCTACATAAACCTCAACAGTCTACGTTTCTGCAAGGTAAAAACGCCAGCAACATCAGGTAGTCCGTCTTTGTTGCTTACCGATGACACAGCTTTCTTCCTCACAGTCCACAACTAATTACGAACCCAACTGCCCGGTTAATGGCCTGCCGTAGCCCAACCTAAACACCAGAGCTACCCACGGGCGTTAGGGGCATCCCGAAGTGGGCCCTTGGGGACAGAGAGCTCTATGGGGGCGCCGGGAGAGCTGTGGGGGGCCTGTCTGCGCCTACTCCGCTGAAGGCGCGGGAGAAAGGCTCGTCTGGGAGCAGAAGGGCTGGGCGACTAGGGCCTGCTCGCCGCGTCACCTCGCCTCAGGCAGAGAGGGGTCCGAGAGGCTCCGCGCTCTGAGCGTGAGGCTGGACGGGCGGTGAGGGATAGGTGCTAACAAGGTAGCGATGGTCACACCCTGGGGGGCCCTAGGGCAGGAAGTAGGCCGGAGAGGGTGTCTGGCCGTATCTCTGGCAGCCGCCCCCTTCACCTGCGACGAACACCACGAAGACCGCTCCGCTCCTCTTGGCCGACGCGATGGCGGCTGGAATGGCGCCCTGGAACCACAGCATTGCTCCTCACGAGTCTAGGCGGTAGCTCGAAGTGTCGTCCGTGCGGTCTTGAAGTTGACCCCACCCTCGTCCCCGTCGGACCCCACGGCCCCCGCAGCCCCAACTGGCCCGCCCCCTGCCTCCTGCTACGCGTGGACGCGCAAACCCGTCAGCTGCCTCTGGGGGACAGAGCGTGCTGCGTCACGTGACGCCACACGTCGTGGTTGGCAAGGAGCACCATTGCCTTGTCTCTTTGGCAACAAGGTGCGTGCGCGCGCCCGCTAGGCCGTGAATTCTGTCCCGGAAGTGGAAGAAGGCTGTGGGAAGGCTGACTAATCCTCTGTGGCCAGTCAGTGGCGCCTGCGTGAGGCATTATGGGAATTGTAGTCTTATTGGGCTTGTTCTTCTTATAGAGGAAAATGTAACTGTGATTTCCGGGCACCGCTAAGCGGGGCAGCAATGAGAGCCACTTCACTAGAACGGGTAAGAGAGAAAGGGCACTCACCCGGAGATGCTGTGTTCTTACCCCTGAGGCCGTCCGTGTGGAAGACGTGGTCCCTGGAGGATATAGTCCCCTCTTCGAGTGGAACCCTGCTTAGTAGGGGACGATGTGATTCTCTATTACGATCAGTGTTGAGTCTCAGGATGGAACTAAATGGACTTTGTAGGGATTTAGAGAGGTTTTGATTACTATTGAACTTTATCATCCCAATATTGAAGAAAAGACAGGATATGAAAGCCACAGCAGGCACCTTCTGTAACACCACGCAGCCCGTGTACTTAAGGGGAGGTATCCGTAGACTGTAAACTTGTTCTAGTCATTGACTAGAGATCATTACAAGACCTCATAACACTTAGCTGCTTTCTAAAGTAAGTCAAAAAGAGTAATGATTTGATTTATTTTCCAGCATTATAGATTCTAAATCAATTAAATTTATTCTCTAGCAGTGCAACAATTTGATAATTGCAGAATTAAGGCAGTACTACATCTGAAAATACCGCTTTCCTGCAAATATTTAACCCCAAAATAGCTAACATATTGCATTCCGATTTTTATTTACTTTTTTCCAATCAGGACTTTCATATAGTATTATTATAAACAAACATAATACTGATTGGAGACAGTTGCTGCTTATAAAGTACACCATTCCTCAAGAAGAATTAGAGTTGATCGTCAACTTTTTAAGGGGATTTCTTAAAATTTGATCAACCTATAAATTCAGTAGAGCAATGATTTTAATTATTCCTATTGTTAGAATTAAATATATTAAGAATTGTTCATAGCCTTTCTTTCATCAAATATTTATTGTTCTCATACTGTGAGGTAGGCATTGACAAGGAGGTGAGGTGATCAAACAAAAGCCCTGCTTTTGTGACTTTAGACTGTTCTGAAGAGGAAGACAGACATTGAACAAGTGATTGTGAGTGATGATGAATGCCACAAGAGGGGTACTTTTGAGTGCTTCAGAGGTGTGATGATGTGACCAAACATGGATAGCAGGGTTTGGAGAAGCCTTTCTGAGAAAATGACATGCCAGGAGAAATCTAACTAGGTGAAAGAGAAAACTGTTCCAGGTGGAGGAAACTGTAATGTAAAGGCTGTAAAGCAAGTGAGAACAGTACACTTGAAAAACTAAAAAATATGTAGTGCAGCTAGAACATAGAAAGGGATTGTAGTGGAAATGAGGCTTGGAAGTTCAGCGAGTATTTGGAAGTCATGTTAAGCATTGCAGACATTTTTCTAAAAGTTGTAAGTAGCCATTGAAGAATTTTAAAAAGAGTTATACATAGGACTTGTGTTTTTAATTGCAGCTATGCTGCAATTTAAATGGATTGCACTGGAAGTGGAATGGGTGAATATGAAGAAACTGGTTAAGAGCCTATTCATGTATAATGGAGATGGAGCTGTGGGTACTTTTAATATTTTGGAAGCAGATCCAACAGGTTTTGTTTGTTGATTAGGTATGGAATTTGAGGAAGGGGTAGTCAAGAAGAGATCTGGAGCTTTTGTTTTGAAAAACTATAGAAGGTGGCACTGAGAGAGGGAACATTAAAGGAAGAGCAGGTTGGTGGGAGGAGTGCATGAAGATGTGAGTTCAATGTTAGACATGTGTTGGGTTGCTGGAAGGACATTAAACTGGAGATGTTAGGTAGGCAGTCAGGTACTAGATTTGGACTCAGAAAACATTTCTTACCTAGAGAAAAGAATTTGAGATTTGTCTGCATGCAGAGAATAATTGAGGCTCTGGAGGATGCTATCATAGGATGTGCAAAGTGAAGTGAGATAAGACTATATGACTCTGGTCTTAAAACCTCCGATAGCTACAGGGTTGTATAGAAAAGTATAAATCAGGAAAGGTAGTGGGGTGAGGGGGAGTATATGTGGAGGAAAATGGGAGAGTGTGATGCCAAAGAAGCCAAGTGAAGAGAAGTTTGAGAAATGAGAAGCGGCTATGCTGAATGCTGCTGTTGGGTCAACTTAAATAAGATTTTTAAATGTCCATTGTTTTTAGCAACATAGCAAGAGGGGTTTTTCTTCTGCATGGAGTCAAGATGGCATGGGTTGAAGAATGAGAGGAGATAAGGAAGGGGTGTCAGTAAGTATGAAGGGAAGGAGGAATAAAGGGCTGGACAGGGATTTGGACTGGGAAAGACAACCTTTAAAGATTGGAGAGATTTGTACGCAATTAAATGCTGATGAAAAGGAGAGACTGAATCTAAAGGAAAGAGGGAGACCCGTACGAAGATGAGAGGGGAAATGAGATATATGGGATATTGAGCTAATAGCCCGCTCAACAATCATTCTTTTACCACACCCCTGCCCCATTATTCCTTGCTGGCAGAGAGGGGAAACCAGCAGATAGTTGTTTTGTTTTGTTTTGTTTTGTTTTGTTTTGTTTTGTTTTTAACCTCCCCTTTCAGCCAGTAAGGGCCTTGTGGGAAGTAGGCATGGACACCTCTAAGATAAGATTTTCTAATAAAAGAGTCACGGAAGAAAGCACAAACTTTTTTTGCTGCATGTGGTTGTGTGCACATGATCCCTGGTACTGCTACAGCTCCCTTGTGGCCATAATGAATGACACTGCCAACATGCCGAGAGTGGTAGAATAGAATATGGAAAGTACTTCTGTCTGTGATGCCACAAGTCTTCTCTTGTGGGACAATAACTGTCCTCATTGATTAGGCTGCTGTGATTGCTTCCTGTAATCACCACTGTTCTAAACAAGTTGGAATGGGATCCAGAGCCCAGGCAGACAGAAGAGACGCCCTTTCCATTTTAACAGGAATGAGAGAGGAAAAATAATTTTGGGCATTAATAAGTTTATATGTTTTAAGACATTAAGCTGACAATAAGAAAACAGTAAGTTTTCATATAAGGGTTGGATTTTTCCCTATGAAGGAGAGGTCATTTGCTGAGAGTGACAGGGTAGTGAGGTAAGGAACTTTATTCTTAAAGATAGGGGACAAGGTCTGAAATAATATCGGCAAGTGTTGCAGGGCGAGGACTGGGGGTGAAGTGGGGGTGCGGGTGTGGGAATATAGTGTGCCAGGCAGTGCTGAGGGCCAGGTGAGACGGGTGGCCCTGAATTTGCCTGGTGTGATTTTCCCCAGTAGCTACTCGATTCCGGAGGCACAGGCACCAAGAAAGTGGAGACATGGAATTATCCAGTGCTGTGCATGCTTGATAGTGTGAGAAAGAACAAAGGAACATGGGGATTTAGGAGATTAGCAAGATCGAACAATGTGATGAAACATGAAATCTAAGCTGAATGAGTGGCAATGAAATGTGGGCAGGAGATAATGGACACAAAAAGAAGAGCAGAGGAGAGGCGTTGGCCCGCAGGGCAGGGGCGGGCAAGAGACTGGTCGGCAATATGGAATTTTAAAATGTTAAATTTTCTGGGGGAAAACAATTGGAAATTCTTGATTTCTTCGAGATTCTTGAGTTTTCAAGTGGAATATTGTCAAATTCCATCAGTCAAAACATATTCCTCCCTGAATCAATGCACTCTTTTTTCTTCTTCCACAGAGTGAAACCTGTCTCCTCCCTTTATTCTGTGTGAAACTAGCCACAGCAAACTTTTCATACTTTTGTGTTATTTTAAGTTCTTTTCATTTCAAGGTAGTGAATATACCATGGTGAGCCTCTCAGAGCCGTGCTTAAGAACCAGGACGCTCACTTCCCTTGTTGCCCAAGCTCTGTATCTAAAGACTCAATGCTGTGTGCTTCTCAGAGGGTTCACTCAGCGGAGGGCACAAGGGCCTGACTTCTCTGCCTCGTTTTGCCTCTGAAGGACCTTCTATCTCCAGCCCTCTCCCTGAAGTCATTCTAGGCCTCTGTTACAACTGCATTTTACCAACGCTGTTAACAATGTAGTTCACTCCCTAATAAATGTCCTGTATGTTGATCTTGTCTCAGTCTGTTTCTGTGAACCCAGAACCCTAATCACTTGAAAGATTCATATGACTTTCCTATTTCTGCTTTCTCTCCAGTCCATCCTACAAAATGATGTCATATCCATCTCCCCCCACCCAATTTTTTTTTTAAAGTATGTTCCTGCTTAAAAACCTTTACTGGCTCTGTAGTGCCTCCAAAAGTAAAGTAGAAATTCTGTGGCCCAACATTCAAAATCCTCTACAGTTTGGTTACAACCCACTTTCTAACATTTGTTTCTCCTACTTTCCTGCCTGAGCCCTCCAGGACAGCCAGATTATTGACTCACTGTCCTTGCCATATCCCTGATCATCTCTATTTCTGTCCATACCATGCCTCTTGCATGGAATCCTCTCCTTTTGGTCAACAAATATTTAGTAGATAAGGTACTGTGAAAAACCTATATATTAGTTGATTGCTGATTGATAGCATTTTTGTCCTCAAAAAGCTTACAGTTTTGTCATGGGACAGAAAAAAACATTAATAGGTGACCATTACATATGGGCTTGTATGAAATGAAAGAGCCATGTACGAGGTATTGCAGGGAGGAAGAGAGGAACAGGAATGGCCTCCTGGAGGAGGTGGTGTCAATCCTATTTTTCAAATGGACCTTAGTCACTGATGAAAAGTTAAGCTCCATTTTATAATCAGACCCTTAAAACAGAAGCTTATTTACTGGTGTG